CTGAGCCAAGAGGAGCAGCCCAAGCCTGAGCCGTCTACCGTGATTTCTTCTCAAGAACCCGCTCTGAGCCAAGAGGAGCAGCCCAAGCCTGAGCCTTCTACCGTGATTCCTTCTCAAGAACCCGCTCTGGGCCAAGAGGAGCAACCCAACGCTGATCTTTCTATCCCTACTCAAGACTCCGCTGAGCTGGAAAAAGAGGGAGAGAGGGGCATCAGCAGGGAGACGGAAGCCGAAGAACCAATCGACGAGCCACTCCCGCCGCTCCCGTCTAGCCATGGCTCCCTTAACGCATCGATAGAGGACTTGAGTGTTGTTCCCGATGCGCAAAGCTGGAAGGTGCTCGACCTGACCCACGATATCCACCCTAAGGAGGATCCCAAGCTTGATCTCGCAACTCGTTCTGAGGAACGCCGTGGCGAGGAAGAACATGCGAAGGAGGGAAACGCCGAAAAGGAGAGCGAAAGACCGGAGGCCCAAGAACCAATTGAGGAACCACTTCCATCACTACCGTCGAGCCATGGTTCATTAAACTCTCCGGCAAGGGACCTGGAAACCGATCCAAATGAGAAAGACTGGAAGGCATTTGACTTGACCCAGGATGTCCATCCTAAAGAGGAGATCAATCCTGGTCCGCCTCGGGAACCCAGCGGCGAGGAAGAGCTGAAGGAGAAGGACGAGGGTGAGAGGGATATTCAAAAGGTTGAAGCCCAAGCACCAATTGATGAGCAATTTCCACCACTCCCGTCGAGCAATGGCTCACTCAAGGCATCGGTAGAGGATCTGAGCGCTGTTCCTGATGAGCAAACCCAGGACCCCATCGACTTAACCGAAGATACCCAGTTTGAGGAGCAGCCGAAGCCTGAGCCTTCGATCTCGACGCCTGCTCCCCAGGCCGAGGACGAACCCAAGCCAAATTCCCCGATCACAAGCCCTTTTCATAAACCCACTGACGGCGACGAGACGGAGAGAAAAAGCGGAGCAAAGGACATCAGCGAAAAGGCAGCGACCCAAGAGCCAGTCGACGAGCCACTTCCACCACTTCCGTCAAGCAAAGGCTCATCGTTGAACGCGTCGGTTGAGAACTTCGTCCCAGGTGAGGAAGACTGGAATCCGATAGATATGACGCAAGCGGTTCATGAGGAGCAGCCTGGGCTTGGCCTTTCTTTCCAAGAACCTGTTGGTGGTGACGAAGAGAAGGAGACAGAGACAGAGACGGAGAAGGAGAAGGCAAAGGCCCCAGAGCCAATTGATAAAAAACTTCCACCACTTCCGTCAAGCAAGGGCTCATCGCTAAACGCGTCGGTTGAAGACCTCAGTTCTGTCCCAGGTGAAGAAGACTGGAACCCGGTAGATCTGACGCAAGCTGTTCGTGAGGAGCAACCTGAGTTTGGTCTTCCTTCCAGGGAGCCCGTTGATGATGGGGAAAAGAAGAAGGAAAAAGCAAGAGCCCCGGCGCCAATCGACGAGCAACTTCCACCCCTCCCGTCAAGTAACGACTCATCTCTCAACGCGTCGGTAGAGGACTTGGATGTTGTTTCTGGTGAGGACAGCTGGAACATGGTAGACCAGCCCGAGGAGCAACCAAAGCCTGATTTCCCAACCGGAATTCCTTCTCAGGAGCCCATTGGAGATCGAGATTCTCAGCCTGAAGACAAGCCTAAGCCTGAGCTCTCAATCACATTCCCCTTCCAGGAACCTGCTCTGAACCAAGACGCCCAAGCCGAGGACCAGCCTAAGTCTGGCTTCTCCATTACGGCCCCTTCTCAAGAGCCCACCCTGCATCAAGAGACCCAGCTAGAGGATCACCAGCAGCCTGATCTGATTCCGTCTCAGGAACCTGCTCTGAACCAGAATTCTCAGTCCGAAGACAAGCCTAAGTCTGAGCTCACAATTAAATTCCCTTCCCAGGAGTTTGTCTTAAATCAAGAGACCCAACCAGAGGATCAGTTCGAACGTGGTTTTTCAATGACACCCCATTCCCTGGAGCCCATTTTGGAAGAAGCTGAGGACGAAATCCAGCCTGACCCATCGACCACAATTCCTTTTCAACCCATTCTGAACCGAGACACTCCTCTTAATTACGAGCCCCAGCCTGACCCCTCGGTCACGATTCCTCAAGAACCCAGTGACGATGATGACCTGGAGAAGGAAAAGGAAAAGGGCAAGGAGATGGAGAAGGGCCTCTCTGACTCCCAGGAAGAACCGCTCACTGAAGAGACAACCTACGACGATACTACTTCGCTGGAAACGAGGGAGAAAGGTACAAGTGGCTGGGAGGTGGTAGACCCGATTCAAATTGCTCTGCCTGAGGAGCAGGCTGAGCCGGACTTCTCCAATACAGCTCCTTCTCAGCAACCAACCCTGAGCCAAGACGCTCAGCCTGATCAAACGCGTGATCTCTCTGTCACACCCCCTCAAGAAGTGGCTGGCGAGGAAGAGTCCAAGGAAAAGGGAAAGGAGAAAGCGACGGATTCCTCAGACGCTCAGCAGGAGCAACCTACCAAAGAGAGAGTCGAGAAAGATCCCCCTCCGCCCTACGAGAGTCATGAGGAAAACGAGGCGGTGATCCCTACCCAAGATGTCCAGCCTGAGCCCCAACGCAAGCCTAGTCTCTCCATTGCCATTCCTTCCCAAGAACCCGAGGACGAACTGGAGGAGAAATACGCAAAGGCGAGAGAAAAGGACACAGACTTCCATGAGTTTGACACCATCGACGAAGAATGGACTGCGTCCGAGATAATGAGGGAGAGAGAAAGACACAAGCACGAATTCGACATCCATTCTCCCGCTGAACTTCTCTGGGATCCTCACAAGTATTTCATCACGCCTCGGCCGATTGGAGGGATGGGATCTCGTTCGTTCGGTGGAAGTCTAGCGCCCAGGTCCTATGAGCCGCCAAAGATCCAGGACGATGACATTGATATCTCTGACCCGGATGAGGATATCTCTCCTCCCGAGTCGGGGCCTTCTGGTCCGCCAGGAAAGGAAACTTCTGCGCCAGAGCCGGCGGAAATGACAGCACCAACTCAGAAGGAGAAGTCGGAGAACTCTGAGGACCCGGGCATTGCTGGCACTCGTGATGAAGAAGAGCAACCGAAGGAGACTATCCCGGAAACTCAGCATGCTCACGTTGGGGAGGACAAAACGATCGTTCCTGACATCGAGGTTACGCCACCGGTAAAGGATACAATCATTCATACGGTTCCGGTCACGGCACCCAAGGAAGAGGAGCAGGCACCATCAACTCCTGACTTTGGTGGAGTCGTTGATGCAACTGTTGCTGTGGCAGTGGATGCAAGTGAAAGCCACCCCGTCCCAGAGACTCAGACCGATGTCAAGGAGAACGAGCCGGCTGTTCCTGAGATTGAGATTACGCCAGCAGTCAAGGACAAGATTGCTCCTACGGTCTCTGATGTTCCTGTTCCGGCTACTGCATCCAAGGAGGAGGAGCAAACACAATCAAATTCTCCTTCCGATTTCGCGGCTATCGTTGATGCTGCATTTGCGGCTGCTACGGGTTCTACGGATGACAAGGCTGTCCCTGAGGAGGGAGTTGCGAGAGATCTACCTGTGGAGTCAAAGGGTGATCTGAGCTCCAAGGTACCACCACCGGAGGGGTCTACTGCTACGACTGAATCCGATTTTCTGGACGCAAGCCAGCAGTCGGAGGATGGGCAAGAGCCTTACCGCACTTTGTCCCCTATAATGGAAGAACCAGACCTGGAATCAGAAAGGTCTCAAAGCGTGGATCTGGCGCATGATGAGCAGACACCTAGTCAAGAAAGTGAGAAGATGGAGTTGGAAGCACCTGCTGCTGAAGACACGTCTGTATCACGGGCACCGCTTGGCAAACAATCCCCTGTACCCGAGGTAGAACCGACTGCCACCGCGCCAGAAACTGAACGCGCCCCCGATGTCACCACCAAAAACGTGCAGAATACTGGTGAAGCGAGCCAGGAGGCCCAGCCAAGCGATGAGGCCCAGAGCGTAACGACGGAGACCGCGACTTCTCGAGACGGGTACGCCGAGTCAACCCAGGATTCCGGTACTGATTTCTGGGACGCCGTTGAAAAGCATGAGGAGGGAGAGGGAAGCATCGCTTCGTCACTCGACCGTCCAATTGATACGTCGGAACCACCCACTCCACGCGAGTGGAGGACTGAGGCATCTTTCGAACCGGAAGTGCCTGCTCAAGATGTTCAGGTTAGCCCCGTCGAAGAGTTTTCAAGATCTACTCCTGTTGAAGAGGAAAGGGAAGATGCTGGTACGCCAAAGGCGGAAGATCAGCTCCTCGAGAAGACAGGAAGCACACAAGTTCCGATTGAAGCCCAGAACGCAATTTCCCAGTCTGACATCACCCGCGACGAGCCGCCGCGACAAATCGAAGTCTCTCCTTCAGTCGAGCCTACCGAGACTGTCGAGACTGTCGCGGCGAAATCCGAGCCTGCAGTGGCTGGCAGCGAGCAATTGCTGGATAAATTGCCCGAACAGACTGAGCAACTCGTCGCAGGTGAAACTAAGTCTCTCGTGAAACCTGCATTGGAGGTAATCCCCGAGGCGGCCGCGGACGCCGAAGCGCCTGAAAATGCGACCGAAAAGTTTCCTCAAACAAAATCAAAGGAGGATTACGAAAAAGACCGCAAGTTCTCATCTTCCTTAGAGCCCCTGACAGAGACAGAAGCCGAACACTCGCAACCGGCTGATGCTGTGGCGGGGGCGGGGGCATTCGAAACAAGCGGTGAGGTCCCAGCCACCACTGATGCACGCCATCAGAATCCCGAACCTGCGGGTGCTCAAGATGTTGAACCGGTACCCGCAGCAAGCGAGGGTGAGTCAATTATGCCTGTGGAGAAACCGGAGTCCAATATTGCCGCACATGGGCCATTGTCGCTCGAAACTGAACAGACACCTGCGCCTGCACCTCCATTGGAGCCGGGAGCCACACCGGAGGACAAACAGAATGTGGAGGATAGTGGGGAAAGAAGCAAGCATGGTTCCCCCTCGACCACTCTCGATGAAGCTGCAACTATCGAACTGCCACCATCACCCCACGCAGAAGTTGCAGATGTGAACGTCCCCGCTGTCACCTCTGACGCATTACCATCCTCCCTCGCACCAACCGAGGAACCAAGCCAGGAACAACCGATTGAAAGAGAGATGCCTCACTTTACCGCAGACAACGAGAGCCTTGCCGATGTAGTGACGCGGGCCCAAAAGAGGAAGGCGAAGAAGGAGAGAAGAAAGAAGCGCCACTTTGCATCGCTAGATGAATCTGTCCCGGCGACTCTGCAAGATGAGACTGATCCGATAGATAAGATCGCTCCTGTTAAGGCACCTTCGGTCGACAAAGATAGTGCTATTGCCCATGAGCCGACCGAAGCCATTCCAGAACAACCCAGAGATGACGTCCCGCCCGCAGACATCGAGCATAGAGAAGCTCCCGAGACAAGCGTTGAGCAAGTGCCTCCCAAGAGCGATGCATCAATTTATCCAGAAGCTACTATTGTGCAGGGGCCTGTTGCGGGAGCCGAAACCATCCAAGAAAAGGCCCAAGACGAAATTACACCTACTGTGGAGACCTCTGGTACAACTGCCGAGTCAACCGTAACAGAGCCAGAGCCTACTCAGGAAGAGCGCGATATCACCACCAGCGTGGAGCCTGTTTCGACAAGCTCGGACCACGTCGAGGAAGCACCAAAGGAAGATCTGACTGTGGGTACCAATGTCAATGCTCCCGTCCAAGATCCAACTGCAACTGAACCGAGCTCCGCAAAGGATGTGCCTCAAGATGACCCGGCGCATGCTCAGGACCAACCTCAAAGAGAGGCGACAAATGTCCAGGAGCTGCCAAGTCTCGAGAAGGATGATGAGGAGGCGCCAGTCACTGAACCGCCAAGTCACACGAACTCGAAGAAGAACAAGAAGCACCGTCGCTCGGCCTCGTCAGAAATCGAGCAGCCTGCTCCAGCTGAGGACGTGGCTGATACCCCTTCCATTGAAGCACTTTCCGAAGCACCTGCCGCCTCGCAAACAACTGAAGAGAAGCCCGTCGAAAGTCCAGTGACTGAGACCCAAGAGGAGCTCCACCCTACCATGTCCAAGAAACAGGCTAAGAGGGAGCGGAAGAAGCGCAGGTCAATGATCAACATGGGCCAGTCACCTGATGAGCTTCCTGTAGAGTCCGCGCAGCCTACTGCTGTACACGGAGCGCCCGCTCAAGAGCTACAACAACAGCCGGACAATGATTCTGCTGTGAAGCCAAGCCAGACGGTCCTTGATAACGCCAGCGCGGAAGGATTCGAGATCATCGATGCACCTTCGGACACTCCGATTGAGTCTATAACTCCGGACCTTCAGGAGCAAGCAATAGTGGAGGAGTCACGGGAGGCTCTGGCGCAAAAGGGTGACGAGGCTATTGCACAAGAAGTTCCGCAGGTCAAAGAGAAGGAGGAGCCAAAGTCTGACCTTGAGACTCAGCCATTCGAGTCGAAAGGAGCAGGATTGCTCAACCCTTTATCGGAAACAGCTCAAGTAAAAGAGCCTGAAGGATCCACATTACACCCTGCAGATGCCGAGGACACCAGCTCCTTGTCTGGAGAAACAAAGAATAAAGTCAGGCACCACAGAAGACGCCGGTCCAGAATCCTAGAGCATCTCGCCGAAGCCGAAGCCGAGCGAGAGCGAGAGCGAGCCAAACAAGCTTCGACCAAAGAAAATCCCACGGGAACGTTGCCTGTGACAGAGTCCAAGCCTACTACACCTGTTGAGGATTCCGGTAATTACCAACCCCACGATGTGGAAAATGCCACCGCTAACAATCTGAGAAAAGACATGTGGACTGATCCTTCAATTTCCTCGCAGATAGAACAAGGGCGAGAAGCCCCTTTCGCTTTTCCTTATTCGGAACAGGTTGATGACAACCGGGTAGTACCTGCTCTGAACGAAGAGCCTCGTGCCCAGCCGTCGTCAGAGGAACCTGAAGCTGTCGCTGGACCTATCGAGGTGAAGGCCATGGAGTCTCAGGCAGGTCACGACAGTCAAGTCGAACAACGCACACAGGAATCGGCCTCCACTCCATCAGGCGAGGAACGTGAACTTGTTCCCGAGACGGCACCCGTCATGGAAGAGAAGACGAAAGAATTCACACCTGCAAATCAAGAAATCGTGGAGCTTCCCTCTATTCAGACAGAGAAAAGCGAACGCTCTCTGGATATCATTGGGTCCATCCCTGCAAATGAACCGGCTGCCACTGTTGATGCTGGTGAAGTTTTGGAGAAGCTAGCTTCGGATGTTGCGCCAAGCCAGACCCACGAGCAACCATCCATCAACCAGGAGGAATCGACGAACCCTCAGGAAACCGTCTTGCTACACGACTCTCCGACGGCTGAGCCAAGACAAGATTATGCCCCTGCCACTCCAAGCCGCAAGAGGTCGAGGAAGGAAAAGAAACGAGCGAGGAAGCGGGCCAAAGAAAATCACGAGGGTTCTGCTTCGCCGGAAGAGATTTTCTCAGAGTCCACCACCGCACTTATTGAACAGCCACCTCTGGTGAGCGATCAGGTTGAGGATGCAGAACTACCCCGGGGTGATGAACAAAAGGTTTTCGCGGAGGAATCAAAGGCCAAGGTCGAGGATCCAGGTACGACAGGCGAAAAGGCTGTCCAGGAGCCTGTTGAGCAACCACACCGAAGGGAGCCTATGGAACCAGTCGAAGGGCAACCTACTGCTCAGCCATTGGAGAACGAACAGCCGCCTACGCAAGAAAAGAAAAAAGAGGCACAGAAGGAGGAACAAGTAACAGTGCAAGAACCAAGGAGCAATGATAATGATATCGAGGCTGTCAACGAATCTCAGACAGAGAAGGCCTCCGATTCTGCCCCCGAGTCCAGCATGACGTCTCGCCTATTGAATAGAGTGTCCGGCACCTTCCCCGACTTGAAACGGGAAAAATTTCGACTACCTTCCAAGAACCAGTCGGTAAAAGATAGGGCCGAGGATGAGACCACGGAACCCGAAGTGAGCCGCGGATTCGAAAACGAGCACGCGGCCTGGGTCTCGGAGGTACCTATCACTTCGCAGGACTACCAGAGAGAGCGACTGTCCTCTGCTGAGCCATTTGAGGACGAACCATCGTTCCAGCTGTCTACGACAACTAATCCTGAAACGACGATCACGGACGTCGCTATCGATGTCGAGGTTGATGAGTACTACAAGGTTTCTATTCTGTCAGATAGAACGACAGGCGGATCGCCAGCAATTGAGATTGATCCGACCTCAGGGGATAGCGCCGAAAGTGCAGAGCAAAGTCCCGATAATGAGAGGTCTGCACATGGTCCTCCGTCTTCGGACGACAGGTCTTTTACGGTCGTCGACTCATCGTCAACACAGGCAGATACTAGTCGGGGGGTCAGTCCATCCATTTCTCAGACCACAAAAACATCGCGGTCACTAGCCCCGTCACCTCCATTACCAGATGTACGCGATCGAGTGGAGAGAACCGACGGAGTACGGACCACGGATCGAAACGGGAAGCCCCGACTGGAGATAAAGCCTGTAGATTCGTTGCAACCACGGACCCCAAGGTCAACATCTCCGATCCGGAAGTACACAGGCAATGCATGGGCACAACAAGCAACCAAGAAGCATGGCGAGAACCCGGTTATCAAACCTCCAGTTCGACAGAACAGCCTACCGACCGCACGAAGGCCGCAAACACCGGAGCGCAAGCCGATTCTGCGACCCAGCAGCATGAGCAACTTCCATGGCGTCCCAAAAATGCAGCAGACTCTTCATAGTCCGGATGTTCCTCGGTCGCTGCGTCGGAAGAGCAAAACGACTCGCGACATGAGCGCTGATTTGCGGGCGGCTAGTCGGGCACTGCAGGAGGAAAATGGGTCCCAGCCACCGCCCACCGACATTAACATCGAACGTATCGCCTCGTCGTCCTCTTACGATCCCGTCACCGACAAGGGCAAGCGACCGATCCGCGGCATGACGGACGTTTATGTATGTGATTTATTTTCTTTTTCTTAGTTTCTGTTCTATTTTTGAAAATCGCTAATTTATATCGATCGTGTAGGAGGCTTGGGGCGAAACTCCCAGTTCCCCACGGTCGCCCAGCCGTCCACCTAGCGTCCGACATCGCCGGAGTATGCAACATCTCCAACAACTCGAATCTCGCTTAGATCAATTGATTTCGGAGAATCGACTGCTTTCTGCTGAGCGTGAGGCTGCCGAAAACAAACTCAAAACGACCACTCTCGCCCGTCGCAAAAGTGACCAGGCTCTTAACTCACAAAATACTGATTTGCGAGATAGATCAGAGGAAGTCGAAGAATTGAGGAAATCTGTGGAGTGGTTTCAGAAGGAAGTCAATCGGTTGACTGAAGAAAATGAAGGATTGACGGGGACGAACGCCAACCTCGCCGCTACCCACGAACGAGAACATCAGGAATTCCAGGAATCGTCGGCCCGCGAAATTCAGGAACTCAGAACGCGATACCGACAAGCGACTGCTAATACACGAGACCTGATACGACGAGAGCTCGATGTGCACCTGGCGCAAAAGAACGCAGAATTACGTCGTCTAAGTGAAGAACTCCAGGAGGAGCAGGAGAAGGTACAGCAATTACAACAGAAGCTCGCAACATCAGAAGTTTTGGTCCACCGTAATGATCAATTCTTCAAAGCAGCCTGCCATAATTTGTATGCTCGTGTGCAGCATTGGGTGAAGCGCTTCTCGAAACATTCCGATAACCTCCGCTACCTGACATTCGATCAACTGCAAGACCCAAAATCACTGGCCAAACGATTGGAGACTGACAAAGTATTGGCCGCTCGATTGGACGTCGGCAAACTGGCCCGATTGGATGTCAACAAACTGACCGCCCGATTCGACAACGCCATCCTCGACGGATCCGACGTGGAGTATTACCTGGCCGACCGGGTCGGTCGTCGGGATGTGTTCATTTCCGTAATGATGACAATGATGTGGAAGTTTATCTTTGCGCCGTACATGTTCGGCATGGACAGTGAAAAGCAACAGAAGCTGAACAGTCTCGAGGAACAACTCACCGAGGCTGGGAAGTTTACTGCTGTCCGTCGCTGGCGGGCTACTACCTTATCTTTGCTGTCCAAGAGCCCTTCGTTTGCTGAACAGCGTGAGATTGAGATGGAAGCCGTCACGCATGAAATCTACGATACCCTGGAAAGTATCTGTCCGCCGCCGAAAGACAAAGTAAAAAAGCTTCGTGAGGATCTGCACGGCGTGCTGCAGATCGCAGTCACTCTGTCCATAGAGATGCGCACTCAACTGGCTGAATACTACATTGTCCGTCCTCTCCTGGCCGAGTTCGGCGACAATGGGGTTGTAACGCGACGCGTCCACTTCAACGAAGCATTGATGAATGAACGCAGTGCTCTCGACTCCGGGGCAGGTGAAGGCTCCGTGCGCTTGTTCTTATTCCCGCTCGTGGTGAAGGAACACGATGACAGCGAAGAGGAGGATGACAAACACGATGACAAGAAAGAGGACAAAGGCCCAGTGGTCATCTATCCCGCACAGGTGCTCGTTAATCGACCGGAAGAAGAGGTTAAACAATCGAGCAAGTCTCTGGACCGAAAATCATCGGTGCAGAGTAGTGTTCCTTCGTTGAGAATGGACAACACGTGAGGCGCCACACTCAGAACGAAGCTCTGTCCTCTTGCGAGGCTCTACTAATTTTCTGCTGTTTTCAATTTCCCTTGCTTTTGCATAATTATGGATGAAATAGATCGGATGATCTAGGAAAGCGATTCTTGAATCTGGGATACCAGGGGTGTGCTTTTGGCTTTACGATGATGACGATTGTTATGATATTTCTTTTTTGTTTTCACGTTTTTCCTTTGTTATTCTGGGCGATGTGTCTTCTCTCTTCTCAGTGGAAAGGGACCATTGACCTTAGTCCATATGTAGTAGATATTTTTGATGTGTGATGAGTGATGACCCTGTATTAATTCAGAATACCAGATTCTAGTGTTATTTTTCTGCTCTAGTCCATACTGTAATCACTGTAGTTACTGTACTCTGTAGTTGTGCGGTAGTAGTATGAACGTAGAGTGTAGATGATATCACCTGACTGGTTACACTTCTCCAACTGTTCGTCTCTTTTCCGTTTCCTAAACCACCGTCTCAGACTATCCAAGATAGCGTCCTACGTCTTCTGGCATTTATTCTACATTCTCCTAGTTTGTCCTGAGTATTTATCTTTTCTCCCTATTTGATGGGGTTGGATCCTTGCATTCCTCGCCTCATGCACTGTGTCTTGCCACGATCGTCATTCTCCAACGGCGACTGCAACTCAACTCTTCTTCCCTAATGCTGCATCACCAACCACCGGACTTTGTACTGTTAGTCATGCTGAGAGAGTACTTCTGCTTACTCCTTCAGCCTGTTGCGACGATTGTATGATCCTTGGTGACTGTTGTCATATTCCTTGCTTTCCCCGTCTTATCTATGCAGGATTATTGGACGAGCTGCACAAGCTTGATCTGCTTGGCCTCGATTGATAGGAGAATAAGGGACAACACGAGCCCTAAACCAACGACAATTAAGCGATAAATCGAAGCAATCCAATCAACAATGACGCCGACCCCTGAAAACAAGAACAAGCGGTCCACCGACGCTGTAGCTTCTTCGCCTGCACGCCGCAATCCAGATCACCCACCAGTAACACGTCCCTCAGAGTCAGTGCAAGAGACCCGCTCCGACAGCAAATCTGGGGCTGCTAGCAGCATGCCCATTCCAAAGCCAACAAAGCGCAAGAAAAACCGCAATAATCGCAAGCGTCGTCACCGCCGTCAGTCGTTTCTAACCGCTGAGGAATCGGAATCCCAATCTCAGCAGTTTAAGCCCGCGACCGCTCCGGCTGCAGATTCGGTGGCGAAAGCCCAATCAGCAGCGAACGATCCGTCGAAGTCTAGAGCGCGTCTGCCATTTTATGGACTTGGGAGGGATTTGAGTGATACTAGTTTGGAGAGTGAGGCTTTGTTGGATCATCGGTATGGTTTTTATTTGTTATTTTTATTTTTTATCATGCTTTAACTTTCTTGGTTTTGTTTCCTTTATTTTTGTTTTCGATTTCATTCGATGCTAACTACTAGGTATTTTGATAGACATCAACCCATGATGCGTCCACGCAGGGAAAGCCGTCTTGCTCAATCCTTCAAACCCGGTTCCGTCACAGCGGCTCTTCGTCCTGATACAGCTCGTGCAAACCTCTCTAGGAGTTCCCGCGTTGATAATGACAGTGATGCTTCGGATATAGACGATCGGACACCGTTGATGCGGCCTTCCTCCGGCCAGACTTCCAACGTGCCTCGATATGGGACGGAAACATATTCAAGTCAGCTCTCGGCCCGAAAACGGCAGCCGTCAGTACAAACTACTTCATCCCGGACCTCTCGTCGCGCTCCCCGGAGTCCTACAATTAATGATCGCGATTATGACATCAACAACCCTCCTTCGATGCCCACCTCGCCGAAGACGGGTCCAGAAATGGGATATGATGATGCGGTGGTAACCGGTGCTGATTTCGACTTCTTGTTGGCGAAGTCAATTGACAATCGAGTAGAGGCGGGGCCGCGCGACATGGTGATTGATATGGATGGTTCGCATGGACCTCCGAACCATTCGGCCCCGTCATCCCCGCCATCCCCTCGTCGTCGCCCATCGCAGGATGCGCTCCGGCGGCGCCGGACAGTGACCTTGCCAGTCGAGGAAGACGTTTGCTTCCCGACGGATGTACACTCGGAGGCCGAGGATGAACATCGGACGGCCCGAAATGGTGAGCGTCGACGGAGGAGGCATCGAGAATGGCCAGATCTGTCTATTCTCGAGGAATGGATGCGCGAGGAAAAGGAGGACCGCCATGGAGACTTCCGTTCGAAGAAAATCAGTGAACCGATGCTTATTGAAGGGCGGTTGCGACCCCAGTATCAAGCATGGCGACGTGAGGAGGAGGATGCCCCATATCGATTTACTTACTTTAATGAGGAGTATCAGAGCACACTCCATGCTCAAAGTATATCCGAACTCATCCAGCCGGGAGGAAGCTTACGTGAGCTGTTCATTCCGGAACCTCCAATACTAGAGGACTCGTCGGACGACGAAGATACCGATTCTGATGGCGGACACGCCCATCATTACTATAACAACAACAATGCCTCTTTCAATGGGACCAACCCGACTTTTTCGAACCCCTTTGCGAACCACAATGGCGGCGGCGGTGGTGGCTTCGAAAATCACGGTAACGGCGTTGCATCAGATCCAAACCGTGATAGCTCAAAGCAACGCACTTCTACTCTCGGCGAGGCTGTTTCAGAGCCACGTAATCATTCAGTTGAGCCACCAACTGTACGGTCCCAAACTTCCTCCAAACCGAAGAAATACGGGCCCCGACCGACCTTCTGGCTTGATGTGCTTTGTCCTACGGATGCTGAGATGAGAGTGATTGCGAAAGCGTTTGGAATTCACGCTTTGACAGCAGAGGATATCATGATGCAGGAGGCTCGTGAGAAGGTCGAGTTGTTCCGGAACTACTATTTCATCAACTACCGCACATTTGAGCAGGATCCGAACAGTGAGACCTATCTGGAGCCGGTTAATATGTACGTGGTCGTCTTCCGCGAAGGTGTGCTTTCCTTCCACTTTTCGCAAACGCCTCATCCAGCCAATGTTCGACGCCGAATCCGCCAATTGGTGGACTACCTCATTCTCAGCTCCGACTGGATCTCCTACGCCTTGATCGATGACATAACCGATGTGTTTGGACCGTTGATTCAAGCTATTGAAGATGAGGTCGATGAGATTGATGAGGTGATTATGCGCATGCATTCTGAAACCGAACGAGACGCAAGCACCAGCAAAGATAGTCTGGCCAGCAACACGGTTTCGAACCCTCCAGCTCCGGGAGAGATGCTGCGACGTGTGGGTGAATGCCGCAAGAAGGTTATGGGGATGTACCGCCTGCTCAGCAACAAGGCGGATGTCGTTAAGGGATTTGCGAAGCGGTGCAATGAGCACTGGGAAGTTGCGCCCAAGTCGGAAATTGGACTCTATTTGGGTGATATTCAGGACCACATCATGACTATGACCAGTAGTCTGACCTATTACGAAACGTATGTCCCTATGCTCTTACCATCTTGGATAACTGTTTACTGACTTTATTTGAACAGCCTCCTGTCCCGAGCACACTCGAACTACCTCGCTCAGATCAACATCCTGATGAACGAGCGCCAAGAACGCACAGCGGATGTGCTTGGCAAGCTGACCGTGCTGGGAACTATTGTCCTGCCACTAAACATCATCGGTAGTTTGTGGGGTATGAACGTCAAGGTTCCCGGACAGGATGTGGAAAACCTAGATTGGTTCTATTCGAGTATGTCTTTCTTTTACATTTACATTGAAATCAAGCTAACTGGTCGCAGTCACGGCTGCACTTCTTCTCTTCGCCATTGCCGCGTTCTACATTGCAAAGCGCGTGTACAATATTGTATAGATGGCACGATCACTATACCCACTCGGTTAACGAAGGCCATGATGACGAACGATACCCTTGGTCTATTCGAATGTTATGAGCTGGAGATAATGATGAATTGTATAGGATATGATTTTGTTTGGTGATTTACACGTTGGATGTTGGAGTTGCTTTTATAGTGGTTTGTTTGTTTGTGTTTGGAGCTGTTTGGTGGTTATTAGGTAGATGGAGGTCTTTCGTGTTTGTACAAGTAGTCAGGGCTCATTGCTTGTTGGTATATATATACGATACTTGCTATAATGAATGTTTATTACTGTGTATTCTTTGCTGCATGCCTGGGATAAGTCTGGAACCCCGGATGAGGTCATCATGAGCCGGTCGTAATGCCATAACGGAATGTAACATACAGCACTACGCAATTGGCTGTGTAATTTTGCCGCCCAGCGTCACATCTCGTCACGGCCTAGCCTGGTCGTTTTCGTCCCCATTATTCCTTCTTCCTTCCTCTTCCTCTATTATTCTCTTTCTCGACATTTCTTTCTTTCTTTTCTATACTCTCTACTCTCCTTTCCGGCTGTTTTATATTCCATCCATCCAACCGACCAACCGCCGTTCTCCTTCCCTCCCCGTTCGCCCCGATCCGTGACCATTTCTGCGTCCCTGCCCTGACGTGGACTATTATCATTGGCCTCTTAACTAGTCTACTGTCCAGTCCCGTTGCCTCCTGCGCTTTCCAGTCTTCCACCGCGCCTTCCGGATAGCCCTGCAATTCGATCACGGTCCTGTCTTCATCCTTGCTTCGGGCACCTTCTTATCAACCGACGGCCGCGATTACTCCGGAGAACTATGCGTGATTGATCTTCTTTACATTCATCGTGCAGAGAGAAGAGTTGGGAGTCAACCAAGACAGAACATTGCTATTGTCAAAGCGGATCCATCGCCCGGCTACTTAAGTGGGACGCGCCTTGGTTCTAGACGTTCCCGCCGGTCCGTGGGCAGTACAGAGAGTACTTTGCGGTGACATACATACAGCTACTGTACTGTACTTTGAGCTATGGATGCAGCCACATTCTTGTCTGGGTTATGATTGATTTGGGTTTATGAAAGGATCCTGTGAAGTGAAAAAGCAACACAACTCGTCCGACCTATTGTCCTCCGTCACCAGGCACGATTCTCTGCTTCCTTACCTCCGTTGGGTTTAAATTTTGTGTTTATCAGCATGTGGTCTGCGTCTATTCGTCCTCTGGCCCTATAGTCTGCGTAACGTGTTGTGTGTGACGAGAAATCAGCTTTCCAACTCAGTCTTGCTCTCCATTCCTTTTCACTCGCACTATTCTTGCCCTTTTTCCGGCGCTTTTCGATTGGGGACCTGCGGGTCTTTTTTCTTTTTTCTTTTTTCCCTTTTTTTCTTGTGGTAAACACTTGTCACTGGTTTCCTCTCGGGTCTTCTGACTTGTCTCCGTCGTGTCAGCAAATCCTGGCCTGACAGTGACTATGGCGGAGCCCGAGAGGTCGCCTTACCGCAACGGTACTGTGTCTAGTCGATCCAGACTGCCCAAAGAAGAGGATGAGGCTGCTGCAGGAGACATGATGGAAGTTCCACAGTCGACCGCCATTAAATCACAGGCCAAGTCCCCTCTCCTATCCCAGATACCTAAAATCTCTTCCGCTACTACGACTCCTGGTGTTTCCGCTCCGCCCTCGACGGATACTTCGACTTTTTCGTCTCGCGAACCCTCCCCCGTTGGTACATCGCTCCGTGCTGGCACGTCGAACTCCATATCGCAGTTACCGCCTTCCTCACCGCAGAAGAATAGCCAGGTCCAAAGTCCGCCCAGGTCCACCCCCGATCAAAATCCTGGTCCTGCGTCCTCTACCTTGCAACAAACCTCATCGCAGACCGGTAACCCGCCCCTCCTCAGTCCTCTTTCGGGTACCGAGTCATCCACCAATGCTTCCAGTCCTGATAAGTCCAACATGCCAGTATGGGCCACGTCGCACCGGCCAGACCAAGAGTCGACCCAACCTAATACTTCGAGCAAACGGTCCTCAATATCCCCCCCTGATGACCTTGCCGCCAAAGGGGACCGCACCATGCCTCGAACCGTGAACAGGGGTCTCAACGGGTCGAGCCCCGCCCTAGAAACCGTACAAGAGATGACCAGTGACCATTCGTCCCCGTCAAACGGCACGATCCTCAACCGGCCTTTAACGGAAGAACCGCGTTTGCAAAAGATTGACGAGGATGCGACTCCGAAGGCCAACAAACAAGGTGCAGAAAGCGGTAGCGAAAGTGGTGGCAACAAAAGTTCGGAACCGATGGATGAGAAACGCCGCAAATCTTCAACTGGTGCGAAGGGAGCGGGCACCATCATTCCGAAGAGATCTACCACATCTTTGAGCGGAAATGGTGCACGTGGGAAACCTACTGATGGATCTGTACGGAATATGATTGTCGAAACGGAAACAGTCAGTTCCATACCCCAGGTCTCACTGAGTGCAGCCACTGGGGATCGAGGTCATACCGGTCGTATCGATCCTGGTACGCTTCGCATGCAACCTAGTACCGAAACTATTCGTCCGAAGAAGGAAAAGAAGAAGGCCCGCAAGCCAGCTCCGCTACCCAGTGGTGCGGCATCCTCGAAGGCCGACATATTCGAGGCCAAGGTGGCAAGCGCGGTCGATGAAGCGGACGTATCCGATTCTGACGAAACATTCGTATACGAGTCCAATCCCCCCGATCCTTATCCTGTCCGGCAGTCTCGATACCATTCTCGAACACCGAGTGCCACCTCCATGGCTAGCCAAGCCGATCAGTTTGGCAGTCGGACACGCCCAACATTGCCATCTGCCAATCACAGCGTTACTGGTAAACGCAGTATGAAGTTCACGAATAATACCTATAGTAACAGTCTGGATGGAGACGCTGGCGATGAAGGACCCAGCAATGCAAGGCACGATGGCCCTGCTTCACACACGCGCCACCATCACATCGGACGGTATGGACGCAACAACTTTTACCCGTCCATATTTGATAGTGACTCGCCGTTCCCCCAGTCACACTCATATATCAAGTCTCCCCGACACTTTGTTGGGAGCGGATACCGGCAGGCAAGACAACCCGGATCTCGTGGAGTGCCAAATTATCGCACCATGGGCCATTCCAAAAAGGCTGGGGACATGTATGGTTACGACTATGATGCAGAGGGGGCAGATGATGAGCGTACGCCGCTGGTCGGTTCACCGCGCATGCCGCGAAGTCGTCACGGCGGTCGACGGCCTAACAGTGCTAGTGTGCGTCAGATGGAATACATGCACCGACGGCGTGGTTACATGTCGCGATATGGACTCTGTGCCGCGGTTTTCCTATTACTCTTCTTGGTTATTGGGGGTGCTACTTCGTTCATCGTTGCCATCACCAAACCACTACGGGAAGTCCACGTCGCTGCCATTCAAAATGTGCTGGCTTCCGAACAGGAGCTCATGTTGGATCTCAACGTGCGAGCTACCAATCCCAACCTGTTTCCGGTGGTTGTCGACGATATGGACGTCAATATCTTCGCCAAGAGTCGATTTGTCGGGACCGATAAACTCTGGCGTGAACATGGCTCTGAGCTTGACGACTTTCCTCGTGTTGAACCTAGGAATTCGGAGGACTCATCAGACCAGCTGGTGCACGTTAATGATGGGGTCGACCACGGTACTGATCCCATTCCTAATGATCCTGTTGGAGACCCGCAGACGATGCTTCTCGGCCGTGTATTCCGCTTCGATTCCTCTCTTGCCTTTGAGCCCTCACCCTGGAACTACGTGGCGTCATCTTCTAAAGGACAAATTCGCCTTCCGCGCCCAGGAAACAAGACAGAAGAAGGTGGCACTGAACGATGGGAGCGGGTTTTACAGCACCCGTTTGACTTGATCGTCCGTGGTGTTATCAAATATCAACTACCTTTGAGTTCACGATTCCTCTCTGCGTCGGTCAGCTCGAGTGTCAAGGTGACCCCGGATAAGGGCGACAATAATGGTGGTGACCATAATGGTGATGGTGACCCTGAGCATGAGCCTGAACATCCCCCGAGCAACGACACGGTCAGGATTACTTCGCCCCGGAGACCTCCTCGATATACACTTTCGGAGCGGAGAGACACGATTAATGTAATGGAACGACCCTTTACGGCTTGATTGATACGATAGCGACAACTTTGATGTCTTTTGCTTTCTCTTCCCTGTATACCCTTATTGTACCGGCTCGTCTATAACATTCTATTCATTCCTCCCTTTTTCTTTCCCTGGTTCTGGCAATTAGGCGAAGAGGCTATGCTAGTGACCTTTGTCTACCACTTTTAACTACTTCTATCTTTTCTTCTGTATATCCATGAAGCCTGGCGTTGTGATCTTTCGCTACAATGGAGTTTAGAAGCCTCCTTGTCTTACTGAGTACTACTGTCTTACCATGATATCCCATACAGTCTGGTCTGTCATTTGCGGACTTTTATTTCTTTTGTTCAATATTATTGCTTTCTTTACTTTATTGTGGTATTGAATGTATGGCACAAAAGTATCGAAGGCTGGACGTTTATGTATGCATTAGGATAGCATATTTTTTTTCTTGTAGGAGAGTATTGATGTCTTCGTGCTCGATATCCATGTCTTAGATGACGGCTATCAAACCATACATACACCTTTCCCTAGCCCGAGCTCTTCACACGCATCGGATATTTGCAAAGATCATTTATCATGTCTTGCAAATAGATTACGACGGCAGACTGTCGTCACGGTCAATATCTTTCTGAATGATGGGATTTCCATCACTCATTAAAAAATCACAGATAGAAGTGGATAACCGAGGTGGATTCTCGGTGATAGCATCCAGATGTGTGTTGTATAGCTCCCGTCCACCATCCTTTGGTTATGCTACGACACGAAACTTTCCAATTCCATTTGGCTGGGTGGGAAAAAATTATCCATTATATATGGAAATATATAATGAATAATGGGATTTTATATATGTATAACTTAATACCAGCGCCTTAGACCGCTTGCCATGTGGAATTTATATAGTATGAATCTTAAAGCAAAATACTCTCAAAAATCACTCAATTATGTACTCCGCCCAACCATCCTAGTAAGTCCAGTGATTCAATAATGCTCAGTATCAGGTAGAGAGTTCTAGCAAACCATCCTTTAAGATTGCCGTGTTAACACAGGCCTCGTCTTTTGTTTCACATCGTTGCACTCCATTCCATCTGTATGGGTCACTCCTGTACAAATAGTCCTCTATCATCAATTCGCCCTCGGTTACCTTAACCTAAAGGCATGTAGGTGCTGAAATAGAGTGGCCGTATCTATGCATTGCCACATGGATTGTTTATGGTGATAGGAATTCTGATGCGCATTCTCCATTAGCATGTACTTCATACAACAGATGGAAACTAATCCATTCTGTCTGCCTCAGAGAAGCGACGAAAGGACAAAAGCCTGTATGTAGTCAGGGAAGACTGTGACATAATGCTGGTCTAGAGACCACCTGTAAGGTCTAAGTGGTGTCGATGATCGTCTGGAAAGACACACCCCAGGTCAACTTGTGTGGTGCTTTATATTCCACGTCATAAGAAGTGCATTCCCATAATTATCGTGAAATAGTAAACATCCGCGGTTCAATGTATCTCCAAGGATTCGTATGGCTGTTGAACCAAACTTCATTTCGGTCGCAAAGCTCTGCTCAATCATGGACAGTACCGAGGGTCTTTTATTCAGCTTCTGCTCTTAAACCAGAACATAATCAGTATCATGCCCTGAACTTAGTGGTTCGAAAACCAATTGAGGGTGTAAAGTGTCTGAAGACACTCTGCTCGTCTCACCATCTCATGTGGTCATTAGCAGAGATGGTCCTGTTTTTATACTGGACCTGTCTGCTTTGACCTCCAGTCCGAGGTACATGAACACCCCTCTCAGAAACACCTTGTAGCATACGCCTCCACCAACCAGCCATAAGACTTTCTCGGCGTATGTGTCTTTGCAAATAGGTCCTGAGCACCACAAGTTTTGGGGCTCCCGTATCAACTATGAGACTCTCCCCTATCCTTGGAGACAGAGAAGCCTGTGGCATGTTGGAGATGGCAGACGCGATATTTCGGAATTCACATCGCTTGCCTGATGTTTCCTCCCGCATCATTCTGGACTAGCACGTGATAACAACATGGATCCCTAAAAGTCGACAAACTGACACGCGAGCGTCGCCCAATAATACCTTTTAGATGATCAATACCTGTGCACGATTGATACTGCCAATCGTGTTTTCGTTGGCAACGGAGCCCACCGGAAACGTTACTCCCCTTTTCTCTGCTTTGTGTAGTGTATCGTGATGATACTATTCAGTTCCGCTTTTTCCACCACGATGCTTTGGAGATTTTTGCTCTCGATTACTTTAGCTTGCATTGGGACTGTATATCCCCCGAGGACGACGGTGATTCCGACAACAAAACCGTGTAACAAGTCCGGACTTGCTTCAACTGTTATGTGTCCGTCGCCGGCCTATGCTCACTGACATGAGCTTGTGGCAGGCGCGGGTGATATTTAAAATGTGGACTTTTAGTGCCCTGCGGTTGATTTCGATCTCTTGTTGGGCCGGCCATTTTGTTTTCGAGATTGTCGTGGTTTGTTGTAGATTTGTTTGGCTAAGGAATGTGGATTCTATTGTTTGAAAGATGGAGTTATCAAGGATAGTATATTATGAGAATTGTTGATTTGAACAGTTGTAGTATCGTTGATGATGGATGGATGGATAGAAGGGGGATGGAGGTGATAACTAGAAGAGGAATTACTTCTAGAGCAGTGAAGTTGAAGCCAATCATTACTATTCGGACAAGACATTCACAGGGCTTCCCCATAGAGAATACCCTATTCTTACTCCCAGGCATACGGACAATGTATTACAAGACCATATAAACCACAACAATCAATTCATAAAACGAAGTACATCATCATCATCATCATCATCATCATCATCATATGGGCATAATCATCAAGTCTCATCACGGCATATCGAATCATCGTAAGGTGAATAACTTGCATCGTAAATCTAAAGCATAAAACAAATCTAAGAAAACATTCCGTCAAGCATGTCCTGCATTGAATTTCCCAGTGGTTGTTCACGTTCACCCTCCGTCAGAAGTCGGCCGTGCGAGTCGAATCGATCGGGAAGGTCAATTATTGAATCAGAGTCGGAACTTGGGGAGGACCGAGATTTGTCATTATCATTGAAAGGGGGAGGAGAATGACTGCGTGAAAAATGATGGGAATGATAACGGGAATCATCAGTCGAGTCACTGTCATCCGCTTCATAACCAGGTTCCGGATGACGGCCTGAATCCGAACCCAGGTCAAAAGCTACTGATTTATGCCGCGGAGACTGGCTACGGGGATGGAACCCCTGCCGTCGCGGCGTCTCGGGAGGAGTGTAGACATCCTTTAAGCCTGAATGTTCAACAGTCAGCGACACTACCTTTCACATCGGCCGTCCATGGACCCACCATTGGACGCAGATCGGGTTTTGTGGGGGTGAGAGTTTCGTGCTGTACTCACATGCTCTGGCCTCCGAGGAGGAGCGGCATAGGGACCCGGTCCGGGAGGGGGATAGGGACCTGGTCCTGGAGGAGGGGGATACTGGCGTGGACGCGCCCCAGGCGGGGGCGGGCCGGCGTAATCAGCAGGAGGGTATGGTCGTGGGTCTGCCCCATATTGAGGACCAGGACCTGGAGGTGGCGGGTAGTAATTGGGATTGGGGTGGTACTGGTTGTCGATCGGCTTGGGGGCAGGCGGAGAGGGCGGGTAGGGCATGTAGTTCTGAGGCCCGTCATACGGATCATGAGATGCATAGGGATCATCATGAACCTCGTCTTCAAAGCGGAGTCGTTCTCTGTCCACGTCTGGGTCCTTGAGAGCTATAGATTGGAACGCTGTCAGCTTTATCCTAGTGCAGTTATTTTGGTCCTCAGTACTCACCAGGACGAGGTCTTGACCTGCTTCGGCTAGGCTCTGAGTCGGAGTAGCTTTCGTCACTGTATCTGCCGCCCCGGCTGCGGCTGCGGCTGTAACTGCGGTTTCTTGGAGGGCTGGGGGTAAATCCGGCAGCATCACGTGCGACAGGGTCCGAGGCATCAGAGTAATAACCCGGAGAAGGTGTACGACGACCATAATAGTCGGCCGGTGGGATGCTGCCGTGAACAGGGTGATCGCCGTACTCGATTAAATTAGCCGAATCCCTCGAGGGGTCGGGGTACACATCTGACGGGGACCTGTCACGGGACGACGACCTCCGTCGTTCCCTGTGCTTGGACCTGTCCCGCTTATCCTTATTCTTCTCATAGAGTCCAGTAGCAGCGGCGGTACCCAAGCCACCCGCCACAATGGGGAGTGCTTTACGCACTTTGCTGCGGGAACGGGAGCGATCACCCTTCCGAGAACGCGATTGACTGTGATGTCTGTCTATGAGACCAGCGGCCGCAGCACCTGCCAGGCCGGCACCTGCCATGTGCTTGCGTTTCTGGGACTCACTGCGATGGTGGTCATCACTCTCACTTGGTGCGCGCGAGCGAGATGAGCGACGGCGGCGTGAGCGGCTGCGACGGTCGTCTTTTGAGTTGTTGTTCTTGTTTGCCAAAGCCACACCAGCAGCAAGAGCAGCAGCGCCAATTCCCAGGCCGGCAAGGGTCTTGGTGCGAGAGCGAGAACGGGCATGGCTGCGACTGCCGTGCGAATGACTATGACGACGGCGATGGTGGTGGCTGCGACGACGGCGATGGTGGTGACTGTGATGAGACCTTCGAGAGCTTCGATCATCGTCATCGCGAGCACGAGAACGAGAGCGGTGCCGGCTTCTACTACGGTAGTAGTCTCTGGCCCGCGAGCCGGCTTCTACGGCGACGGCACCCAGGGCACCAGCGCCGACGTCTCGGCCGACCCGACCAGCACCATTCGACACATCATCCCCGTGCCTCTTGCTTCGTTTGCGAAGCATTTCTGCCGCCGCGACACCAACAACAGCGCCCTCGGCCATATGACGCCTGTGATTCGGGTGCTCATCCCGTTCACGAGACGAAGCACGAGACGTAGCGCGGCTATAGTCACTGTAGTCCCGATCATCACGACGGCGAGGTCGCTGAGACAAGGAGTCGTCAGGCCTGAGCTCGTGACGAGCACGACGGTCATCGTCATACTCGCGAACACGACGGTAATAATAGTATCCAGGATCCCGATCATGTTCAGGTCGTGGGGCAACATCGTAACCGGAAGTGCGTGGGCTGGCGTAAGCTGGACCTCGAGATTCATGGATTATTATTGGCTGACCTTCGCAAATGATAATGGGAGCAGGGGGGTAGACCGGCGAGGGGAGGCTGTCTTCAAACCGGGTATAGCGATAGTACTCACGTTCGTAGGGGTCATCATATCGCAGGTCACCGTAAATGCGCGGGTCTAACTCATCTTCCATTCCAGAGCGCTCGTCCCAATCACGGGGTCGTCGAACAACCAGGTTGCGATCCTCCTCTGGCGGAATGACGTAACGCTTAACCGAGTAGGAAGAGGAACGAGGCTCGTCCCAATCGCGATAAGGATCACGATAAACAGTGCCGTGTGATGACATGGTGTATATTCAATAGACAATGTCTAGAGAGGGAGAGAGAAGAGAGGGAAAAAGAAGAAGAAAAAGGTGAGGAGAACAGGAAATAAACGGCTCGGAGGGGCTGGTGGGGTAAGAGGGCTGGCTGAATGTCGATCGCGCAAACAAAGCACAACAAGGAACAAGAGTACTAGCAAATGCAATAAACGGGAATTTGTGAATAACGAGTCAGGGCAGTCTGTCCTCGTAGGACTAAGAGGGAAGAGGGGTTGTTGGTGGACTCGGTTGTGTCTAAATAGTGTGCGTTGACGCAATTAGAGACACTCAAAGTAGACGAGTTTTAGTTGTATCTGAGGAAAAGACGATACAAATAAGATGAAGAGGATAATACAAAGATAAAGAGAATGAGAGATGAAGAAAGAAAAATGAGAGATGAAGAAGAAAAATAGGAGAAGTCAAAAGACGAAGAAGAACAAAGAACTCAGCCACGTGAGAGGACTCGTGATGACCTCACTGGCAAGTCAATTGATTCCCTCAACTTCCGTTGACAAACGCCACAAACGCCCGAGACGCCTGGATTATTGCTGGTGATAGGGCAGATGACAGGTTTCCACTGTGTTCTCGCCCACTGTGGCGATTCAGGTTTTATGCCGGATCCTCGCCGGGGGCTGAGTTGCCCCGCGCCCGGTGATGGTACTTTTTACTGAAGTCATAACGGTTTGCTACTACTAAGAAATCAAGAAAATGACAGCAGATGTTGATGTTGATATCTAGATACCGGGAACGCTGGAACCGTGGGGATTTCATCCATGGTTGATTTTGCTCCCCGCGGATAAAGACCGGATGCGATCCATGGCACGGCGACTCGTTTTCACTACATACTCCGTACATGTACTCTATTTTCGATGGAGATGCATCAATGACAGCTCTTGAATATGCAGGGCCGGTGAAATAATTCCCATGCCGTGTGATATCTAGAATGTCTTGCAGAGCACAATTCTCTGCCACCTGACCAGGAGCCAGTCTACCTGCTGTCATGGACACAACAGGTGTTTGCCAATATTTGTCCCCATGTTTTTTTTTTTTTTTTTTTTTTTTTTTTTCCCTCGATTTTTCGAGTCACAAAAACGTCATAGCAGCGACGTTGAATTATGCCGTCATAAAGATCCTTATTCACCACTGTGCAGATTCTATTTGCTATGATTGGATACTGATATATAGAATATCATTCGCTCGCTTATTCCTTGCTATGATTGGCTGGCTGGCTAATGCTCGTCTCATCTGTTCTACTCACTGCGTACTCTGGACTCTTCAAGAATATTTGAATGATCGTGACTTGCTCAATCTGGATCTATCTACAGGACCATACCATCCGAGAGGCAATGGACGCTTTTGGTGGTGATTCGTCAAGCCCTACCGTCTTCGCTCGGAAGCCTAACCTAGTTCTGCAATTCTGCAAACACATGAAGACAAACCTAGGACTAATCTCAAGATCACCAACCGGATATTACTGATGCTTTTACTAGAAATGGTTTGCAGAACTACCCCATACAGACACATCAAATCCCCGGGCCCAGTGAAACATGCGGAGATCATGGTTGACTGGTGCGGGCCTCGCAAGCCGTTCCCAATTAGGAAATTTCGATGACCCTCTCTATCCCCAACGAACCACTCCAACTCATGGAGAGCAACCAACAAGAGTCTCATCGAGTGTTCAGATACGCTTTCACATGTTGCGAGATGATTGTTTTACCGAACACTGGAGAGATAAAGCAGAGCCATCCGCAAGGATGGCTCTGAAGACACGCATTAACCAAAATTTAGGTATCATTACTTTTCTTTGTCTGTCTTAACATTAAATTACCAGTCGCAATGGCGTCAAGAAACCCAAAGGACTCCATGAAGTCCACCTGGCGCAAAGCCCCTCGAGACCAATGGAACATCAACCACTGGCTAATCGAGCTCCTAAACGTCCACCCCTTCGAACTCGACCAGGAAATCCCAGTCCACTCCAAAGATGAAAAAGTGCCCTACATGACCCAATGGTCCCTCAACCTCTGGGTTCTCTTCTACGGCGCCATCCCCCTCCTCATCCACGAAGTCTACACCACCTACACAGGAAACACCATGTCCCGCTGGGCCGCCATAGGCTTCTACTCAACCTTCTTCAACGCCGCCGTCATCTACCTCATGCACATCATCCGCCGCCTAGGCCACACCTACGGCTTCCTAGACGGCGACAAGCCCCGCGATGACATCCCAGACGTAGGCGTGCACAAGGTCGTCGCCTCCCTGTACAAAACCACCATCTCGCGCATCATCATGGCCGCCTACTTCTCCTACAACGCACACCAGCTCCCCTCCCAACTCGACTGGAAATGGCTCCCGCTCGAAATCGGCGTCTACGGCGTCGTCCTCGACTTCTGGTTCTACTGGTACCACCGCCTCATGCACGACTTCAACCCGCTCTGGAAATACCACCGCACGCACCACCTCACCAAACACCCCAACCCTACCCTCTCCGCCTACGCAGACCACGAGCAGGAATTCTTCGACATGGTCGGCGTCCCCATGATGACCTACTTCACTTTACACTACGCCTTCGGCCTGCCCATGAGCTTCTACGAATGGTGGATCTGCCACCAGTACGTTGCGTTTGCGGAGGTCTGGGGACATAGTGGAATTAGGTTGCATTTGACCGTGCCGACGCCGTTTAGCTGGGTGTTGCAGATGTTGGATTGTGAGATTGTGATTGAGGATCATGATTTGCATCATAGGAAGGGTTGGAGGAAGAGTCATAATTATGGGAAGCAGAGTCGGGTTTGGGATCGGGTTTTTGGGACTACGTGTCCGAGGGTGGAGAGTGTGGAGGAGAATGTGGATTATGTGAATACGGTGAGTATGCCGTTGTTTTAGGTCAGATCTTGATCTGGATGTGTTAGGCTTTCTGTTGTACATAGGACATGTGATGGGTATATAAGAATGACTTACGACTAGCAATTGATTTATGAATTTATTTACTACATAAGCATAGTTCACTGTCTAAGTAGTATCCTTTCCCTGCTCCCCCACAGACCTAGTAGCAGCCTCCAAAGGAAAAACCTCCGGCCCATTCGACGCCTCCGCCCCATAAATCCTCCCCCATCTCTCCCTCATCTCCTCAGGCGTCGTCCACGCATTCTCCGGATCTCTCATCCACAGCCTTAGCAGGTGTCGCCGATGCTCACTATCATCAACGTAATTCCTCCGCGCATGCAAAACAGCCAAGTTATTAATATACTGGATATCTCCCTTTCTCAACTTCATGGAGATATGGAACTCGTCTGCTAGAAAGTGCAGCGCATCGAGGGCTTCTGCTTGCGCTGCGGTTAGGTATTTCGATTGCGGGACGTTACCGAAGCCGGAGAATGAGCGGCGAGAGAATTGGATGATCACCCTCTCCGGGGCCTTGTCGGTGGGTGGTTGGTAGAAGAGCAATGGGCGTTGGTGGATGGTGTCGTTTTTCGCACTGCGTCTCATTAGCATGCTAGAACCACTGATTGATAAAGAAGGAACTGGGGGATACCTAGGAATCAACCACTCCTCGGCCAAAACCCTCACAAGATCCGGCCTCGTCCTCGCCAACTCATTATACACCCTCCCCCCACTAGCGACCAAACTCTCCCCGCCCTCCACAGGCTCACCCAGCACAAACAAACTAACAATATCACCCACATCCGTATGAAAAATAACCTCTCCATCCGTATACGCCGCTAACGAAAACTTCTTCTCATCAGCAGCGGCATCTTTCTTGCGAAAATCCGTAATATGCGCCATCATCACGTCTGCGGGCTCGCCGGCATACTGGTGGTCCTGGCGGCCGAAGACGGGCCCGATGTGCGAGGCCAAACCGACGTAGATGATTATGTTCTGGGCGCGGGTGTAGTTGTCGACGGGGATGTTGCGGAGGAGGGTGAAGCCGTGGCTGGAGTGGATGTTTTGGGATGCGCGGCGGAGGATGGGGTGGAGGGTTGGGAGGGGGAATGTTGATGTATCTAATTTTGAGGGGGGTAGGTGCAGGGCTTTGGTTGTTAGGTCTTTGCTTTTTTGGGACAAGGCAAGGATTGTTTTAACCTTCGAAGTGCTTCACGGCGGCATCAATCTCAGCCAATTGCTCCTCATCCAACGCCAGCACACAGTCCGTCCCGTCATTACTCTCATGCTCATCAATCGATAGACTCTCCCTATCCCAGACCATCTTTGAATTAAGCTGTGCGGGGAACCTATCGGGAAGCGTTTTTGGAAGTTCCTCATTCTGCAAGCGATAACTTGTCCGCGCCGCGGATTCCTCGCTGTTGGGATAGTAGGATAGATGCGCGTAGTCCATTTTCTGCAAGTCTTTGATTAGAATGACAATGGATGGAGGGCAGGGAGTATGTTTACATACTTATCGTATTTTGCTCGAGATGATGGACCCACAATTCATCCTCATTGCGGATATAGTGGGGGCGTGGCATGGGTGCGGCGGTCAATTGGATTCGTGTGTTTAGAAATGCTAAACGGAGGTGTCGTTGGTGATGGATTGGCTGGGAAGTGAAGTTGAGTGGTGAGTTGCTGCGTGTGCTAGTATATATTTTGCATCGAGGTGCCATGGTGGCTCCATCTGAGGTGTTGTTGCGAAAAAGATATGCTCCGATATAGTGTCCTGGTATGACTTCAAGAATTCAAAATCGACGACGGAGTGTAGCGTTGTCAGCAAGTCCCTACAAACCGCACACCATGACGATTGGGGCATCTTTCGACGGGAAGTAATCAGATATACCCCAAGTAGCGTGTATGAATGCGTCTAAGCCCATTTCTAACAGAAATCTGGCAAATCTGATGCACTGTAAATCAACTCTTTGATACAAATAGGCTTCTCCATACGACCTGACCTGTTCGAACCCTATTTATCCAGATCAAAGATAACGATAGATCTCTAACGATAGATCTGCGTACCTCGGTCCATCAAGATAAAGCGGCTTTATTCAGACATCAACATTTTTATCTCCGATGCAGATTCGACTAGCAGTTGCATGTTCTTTGTTCACGATGGAACAACATTCATCCTGGCAAGGGTCTGCCAACCACGCGCAGGAACCATTTCTGGATGAATAGAACAAGAGTACAGTTCAAGATGGGTCCAAAGCTACATGAATCTTATTATACGATCTATTGCCTATAGGGCGAGTCAGCGCAGCGATCCCTTGATTGATAAATTTTCTCTCAGATGAGGCAGGATTCCTAGCTGCAAGCAAGCAAAGGATTAACCCCTGTTGCGATGAACAGTTACAGGCTTCAAGGTTTACGGTGACAGCCGCTATCTGACAAACACCGAGGAGCTCCGGAAGGGCCACTATGGAGCCCGATTACCAAGTTCAGTAAATGCATTTGAATTTGACTCCTTCTATATCGGGAATCTAGTGATGACGCTACGACCACCCTGACCCTTTGTCTCTGCATTCGCAACAAAGAAACGGGTGAAACTACTGTTCGGCCTTGTTGCTGGTTGACATCTGGTTGGTACGGGGTCACTCGGACAACACCGACAGGAGTTACGAGACTGTGTAAACTATGTAGGACTGGCCATACGCTTGGGAATGACATGTGTTTCCCACGGTTGGTCCGATTTATCATATCCATTGAGAAATGGGCGTTCGCTGCACTTTTTTTTTTTTTTTTTTTTTTTACAGCGCCGGGTGATCAGCAATAAAAGAGGCATAAACACTGCTCCCTCTACGGAGTAAGCCGCAAACTCTCTGCATCAAATCATATGGGTTTTATAAAAAGAAAGAGGAAGCATTAGCTGTTAATGCAGCAGAGATCTTAATCTCGGAGTCTATCTATTCTTTCAACCACTGCGGGTCTGGAGAACCAAGCATAATTCAAGAAAAAGAGTCGCCTACAGCCCTTAATCTGCAGTCCAGCTGCAAATTGCCCAACTGTTACAAGAAGTTTGCCTTTCGAGGCTGGTGTTGGCTTGTGCCGCTATGCGGAGGGGAAAAGAAAACATACCATCATCTCCTGGAACCACCATCTGTGCCCAACTTTAAGCCATCACTTCCGTGGTTTCTTATTTTCGATTTATGTTTTAATTCTTTGTTTAAAATCGGATGGTCCTCTTGGTCGCTATTCGGCTCGCTTTCCACACGCAGCAAGTATATTGCGGAGACGATTGAACGGTGAACGACATCAATCGTACCTTTGAATATTCAACAACACAATGACCTCCGGAAACCGTCACGGCGGAAAACGCCTACCCATAAGCTGTCAAGCATGTCGAACCAGAAAAATCCGCTGCTCTCGCGACAAACGACCATGTCAAACATGTGTCCGGCGAGGCTTGGGCGCAGAGGACTGTGTCTACCTGGGCCAACCGCGATTATCATCCGAGCAGTCATCTTCATCAGATTCACTTGTGCAGCAAGAATTACTCGCGCGAATTCGCAATCTTGAAAATTTAGTTCAGAGACAAGCGAGATCGAACTCGCTAGCTGGGTTGCAAAACAGCAGCAACTCTCTTTCTCCGCAGACAACTAGCTCGTCGGAACCTGATAGTGCTATTGGGCTGGGGCCACTGGAATCAATGGGCTCTGGTATGGCGAATATGGGATCTTTGCAGACGTTTTCTTCGGGGCATGTTCGATATATGCCGTTAGCGTCGCAGTGGAATTCGGTGGTGAATAAGAGTTCCACTGGTGATTGTTTGCAGAATGTTGATACGGAAATTCCGGATGATGATGATGACTTGCAGATTCCGTTGGTCAGAAACGGGAGTGCTTCGAGGAGTGAGTTGTTGGGAGTTCTTCCGCCGGGGAGATATTGCGATACTTTGAAGAATGTGTACTTTCAAGTCTTTTCGCCGGTAAGATTGTGTTTTCATTTCGCAATGGATGACAGGCTAACAATGGGCAGCTATTTCATATCCTCCATGATTTGACCTTCGAGGCAGAATATCAACAATTCCGACACGACGCCGGAAGCGTATCAACATCATGGCTTGCATTACTTTTCACCATCCTAGGCATAGCAGTGACTGCACTTGACGACGATGATCCCTTACTCTCCGACCTAGGCCGCGAAAAGACAGTCAGTCGCAATATCAAAGTCCTATCAGCGCGCTACCGCTCCGCCGCAATGCGATGCTTAGCAGCAGACGGCGTTGTATCGCGACACTCCATCAACTCCCTGCAGTGTCTCGTGCTCATTAACTACGCCCGCTCTCATCGAGGACTGCCAACATGGACACTGATCGGCTTCACCCACCACGTCGCCATCTCAATGGGTTGTCACATCGACCCTGAACGATTCGGTCTAGGTTCTATCGAGCGCGAGGAACGAAGGCGCGCATGGGCCGGCCTGATGATGCTGTACACCATTCAGAACGCCTCCTTCGGTAGTCTGGATCAGCGCCTTCTCGCACAAGACGTTAAACTCCCCTCAGATGTCAACGATGTGGACCTCCTAACAGGAACACCCTCTGAGCCAGTCCCGCGCCCAACGCAAATGACCTATCTCCTACTAAAATTCCGCCTCTACAAAGTATCCGCCATGATCTGCGAATCTATCTTCAGCTTCCCCTACAGGTCTCGAACTAGTACTCCGCAACTCGAGTCTGAAATCGTGGCTATACAGGAAATGTGCGATGAGCGGTACCAGCTTGATACGACACATGAACCACTACCTACGCACCACATAGCAAACATGAATATCCTCTATAGCTATATCCACCAACTCTTCCTCTTACTTCTCCGCCCCACGCTATGTCGGTACTTCCAGGGCGAGATTACACCCGAGACATCCGCGTCGAGGGCTAAATGCGTCGCTTCTTCCAAGGCATCGCTGACAATTTACACATCGCTATCCGAATCGCCCCAGTTTGCGCCGTATAAGTGGTACAATAGCGGTTTGGGAAGCTTTCATGCCTTTCACGCTGCCGTCGTTTTATCGGTTATCCTCATGAACCCGGAGAGTCAGGCGGAATTCGTCGAGGTAAAGGATATCCTCTGGAAGTCGCTTGGTGTCTTTGCTGCGCTATCAAACCGCAGTGCGTTTTGCAGTAAGGCAGTGCCTATTTTACGACAGATCATGTAAGCCCGCCCCTTCTCCTTCCTTGACCATCCTCCGTAACCAAGACTAATAAATAATTGCAAAGTGACGTTGCCACAACCCGCTACCATCAACACCACCACCATCAACACCAACAACACCTCCTAAGTTTCTCCCCCATGGCACCAACAACCAACTCCTCCCCTGCTACTCACACAAACATGAACACACCATACAGCCAACACCACTCCACCCCCGCAGCAATGATCGATGAAAGCCTTATGGACCCGTTCTTCGCGCAGATGAGTCCGCAGAACTGGGTTAGTCCGGCTGCGATGCCGTGGGATGGATGGGGGTTTTTATCGGCGGAGGGGTTTGGGATGCAACATGGTTGATTTTGGTTGAGTTATTTCGGTGCTGGTATATGGCTTGGTGTCGGGTATGGTGTTTTGGGGTGTATTGTTTGGCTGGAATATCTACACAGCACAGCCCTCTTAGGAGTTTTATAGAAGAACGTCTGCGAAGAGATTGGATTATGAGATATAGATGATAACAGATATATATAATGCTTATTACACTGGGAAATCAGAGGAAAATGCTCCAACCAGTGCGGTGCTCGCTACACTGTGTATATCCCCCAACAAATCCCACGCATCAATCAACCACTCTGCCTGACCGACACAGCTTCCACATGCTGTGAACCAGTCTTCCCATCTCCATCTTCGTCTCCATCCCTACCACCATCTTTACTCCTTTCATCGGATGAAATAACTTTGTCTCCGAATGCAGACGCGATTTCTTCCAGCGTTTTCTGCTTCGTCTCACTAGTATCGAGCATAGTGAGCAAAATGATTTCGGTTATCAGGACGATTAAATACTCACGGGAAGTAGAAATACGCAATAACCAAGAAGAAAAGCGTACACGCGACAAAAACGTAGTAGTAGTTCTCGTGGATGTTGGCGAATGCACTCGGGCCTGCTTCGGTGACTGCAACCAGTGATATCAGTATGGCCATTGATAAATGGAAAGAGGAAGGAGGTGTACCTGCAACATTAACAATAAAATGCGATGCAGCCGCCAATCCCATGATCTTACTCCGGAGAGCAATCGGCAGGACTTCAGCGCCGTACAACCAGGTTGTACTGTTGAGCATACCATCTGTTGCCATCATAGTTAGCCACCTTTTGAGTCTTGAGACAATAAGAGAAGTAGACGCACAATACGCGACAACAAAAAGATAAATCCCCAAAATAGCAAATCCCTTCCCGACTCGATTATCCGTATTCTGGAATTCTCTCTGCATGACGGCTGCGTAGATTTCGACGAGGATGATTCCTGCTAGGCCGGATAGGAGCATCCTTAACGTTGTTAGCTGGTTTTTTGTTTCTGGATGGGATTTGTAGACGTACTTTCGACGACCCCATTGATCGGTTAGGTATTTGGTCGTGAGGCAGTTGACGACGAGGGCTACGATGCCGTATACTGCGGCTAGGGCGAGGATGGTGTGGGAGTCTATGCCTAGGGATTTGTAGAGGATTGCTATGGTTGTTAGTGGAATGGTCTGGGAAGAACGGGATAGTAGCGCACTTTGGTAGTACTGTTATGTGTTAGCAGCCATCACTTTCAGATAACTCTATTACTTACCTGAATCACATTCACACCAGTAAGGCTCGTCATAGTCTGAACGGCAATAGACCTAACTCATGATTAGCCCCTGTCGCGCAGCCCTGAACAATGACATACACCAAAACCCTCCGCCGAAAAAGCTTAAAAATCTCCCTATAAGAAGTAATCTCCCTCTCCATCTCATACTCAATCTGCACCCTCATACGCGTAAACTCCTCCTGCACCTCATGAGAATGCAAATCCCTTCGAATCCGACCAAACTCCCTCCGCGCATCCTCGATCTTCCCAATCCGAATCAAATGGCGCGGCGAATTAGGCATGAAGGTGATCAACCCGATGAACATGATAATCCCCCAGGGTATCTGAATACCGAGAGGAAGTCGCCATTGCACGGGACCGTAGGGGGCGTAGCTGCAAGCGAAGCCTACCCAGTTGGAGGCCATTGTTCCGAAGGAGATGCCGCAGCCTGAGATTCCTCCTATTAGGCCGCGGTAGCGAGGGTCTGAGATTTCGCTGAGGTAGATTGGGACTGTGCCGACTAGTCCACTAGCACTTTATTGGTACCAGGGAAATGATACGTGCACGGAGGGACTCACCCAACAGCATATCCAGCGAGTACTCGGCCCGCAAGGAACATTCCAATGTTAACAGACGCAGTCTGAATAACCGTTCCAATCGTGACAACGACACACATCATCTCCATGAATCGGAGACGCCCGAGTCTGTCCCCGACGAAGGTCTGCGTAAACGCGCCGACTGCTTCGCCGGCGATGTAAACAGCGACAACCTGTGCGGGTCAGATGATGTCTTTCACTTCATAGTTTGGAATCTGGCTTACAGCACCGGTGAGCCCATCGGAGGGATTGTTCATATAATCAATCCAGCTTTGGTGAGCAATCGCTGGACAACCTTTCAGTCTTTGCTTGATATACTCTCTGCTAAGTACTTACTCGTCGTCGCGATACCCGTATCAAAGCCCTAGTCCAGTTAGAACCTATGCTATACTCTTCCTGACTAATGAAAATCCGGCAAACATACGAATAGAAAAGTGCCGATAGCGGCAAACAGCGCAACACCAAATGCGTACCACATGGCCATCTACACCAGCTGAATAGCGTCAAATCGATCAAAAGAATGGAAAAAAAAAAAAAAAAAAAAAAAAAAACTGAAACTAAGACAGCTTCGCTTTTATTATAAAACCGTCTAAAGTATTCAAAACACGGCCGATGTCCTACAGGCCGAAACTAAAGTATACCAATGTTGAACTAGTCACTCGGAGTATGACCGACTTGGGATACCTATGAGACCACAAGCCGCGGTTATGTGAAGAAGAGGAGAAATCCATGATGACTGTTCTATCCATGTAGACCCAGCCGCAGTGAAGAATGGAGGTCAACGCCCGGCATTTGTTGGATCGGGGTATGTTCGCTGGAGCGGGGAAGATGCATAAAAGACGATCTGGAGACAATAGGATAAAGATCTCACTGCATTGAGAAATGGCCAATAACTTTATGAATATGGAAGACAACTAGACAAACCTGGCTGGGAGTGCGTCCGACCTCAGTCCTGCTAAGAATCCCGTGATCTCTCACTTCTGCATCAGCATCCCTCGTTCATTCTCTAAGCACTGATAAATGGAATTTATATTCATTGTATTGAGACTCATTCCAGGTAAAATAATTCAGTCTTGATTCTTCGCTCTCAATAAACCAAATATAGCCCTCATTAACAAGTACTTGAAGTAACCCGAATCACATCTCACAACGCCACTATCCTTAGCCCAATAGCGCTCTAAGACACATCCCGTGGAAATAATACAACCCATATACTACCATCCAGCTGGTTGAACTACTCTAGCGTCCCCCAAGTACAACACGAGCCACCCGCAGTACGACCTCCTCGAAAAACCACCTCGCAGCCCCTATTCTGTACGGACAATTCAGTGACTTGATTCGAAACCCATGGCCAGCTGCAACATCTCACAAGTCTCTTTTTACGACTGCAACTACGGTTATTCCGGGTGGTGACAAAGATACTTTCTTTGTTCTCTTTGCTCCAGCTTCGTTGGAGTGGAGTTTAATCTAAAAACGAAAAGAGAAAAGGTCAAAAAAGGCTCGTGTTCCACGCGATCGTCCTCCCCATTTTGAGTACTAGTAGTACTATGTGCGATGTATGAGATGATAATGGAAATACGGTTAGCTCCAGTAGGACCCATAAATTCATTATGGACAATAAAGGTGCTAAATGGGGGCCGCTATATGGCCTTGCAAGATGCGTCTTTGACAGCCCTCCTTTTTTAAAGCTCGTCTATTGATGACTAGTACTAATGCCGAGGGAGCACTAGCCAGCGTGGATTACGGTTATAACTATGGGTTTTGAGTGTGACGGGAATTGAGGTGCGGGGGCTGGGATGGTTACTGGTTACTATTATTATGCGCTTGCAGTGCTGTCTTGAGGAACAAGTGCTTTAAAACAATTTTGCCATACTATTCGACTAGATAGCGAGAGCTCGTTCTTGATCTCGAGCGTTGTTCGGATTGTTGAAGGATAACGCTCAATTTCATGCCATTATGGCACCGTCTCTACCGATGAGTACCAGAGTCTCTTGGTTCCAATCCATGTCGACTATTGAACCCTACGATGGTCCTCCACGGAATATTCAGCCGACCAATGAGGTCAGATTCGATGAGCGTTTAAGACCAAAGAACTATGAGATCTTTGGCACACATCCAGACTCCAAGATATTAATAACAGACGTCCGGATCCTCGACTCAACAGGGAGAGAGCCATATCGAGGAGATGTTCTCATCGAAGGTATGTTAGATGTCATCATTCCCATCTATCGACGCCAGTTAACCCGTACCAGGCGAGCAATTCACCGCAGTAGGCAACGTCCCCAATAAAGATGAACTAAAACGAAACCCCAAAGTACGCACATTCAACGGCAGAGGAAGGACACTGATGTCCGGACTGGGCGATGCGCATACCCATATTTCATGGAACGGAGGTGACCTAGCTCGATTAGGCGAGCTCGATGTGGAGGAACACACTCTGCTCACGGCAAAGAGTGCCCAGTGCTTTCTGGATTCGGGATATACCATGTCAGCTACCTATTCCATTGTCCCCATCTCATGCTAACCTCGTGTGAGTTGAAGGTGCTGGGGCGCTGCATCCGCAAAAGACAGATTAGACGTCGTAACCCGCAATGCCATTAATGCCGGTGACATCCCCGGTCCTCGTTATCTCGCGAACGCCAAGGAGGTCTGTCGAAGAGATGGCGACCTCGTCCCAGGAATCAGCGCCTATGCTGACGGCCCGGATGAAATGAGAGAGGTCATTCGTCGACATGTCGAGTTGACTGCTGATCAGATCAAGCTTAGCATGTCAGGAGAGCCGGTATTGAATGTTTCACTTCTTGAATTGACACCCGTGCTAACATAAAATGATCGGGAAAGATCACAGAAGACCGTTCAGTAGATGAATGCTACTTCACAAATGAAGAAACAGCAGCATGCGTCGACGAAGCCCACAAACACGGTCGAAGATTATGCGCCCACGCAAGAGGATGTGACTCGGTAGCCATGTGCATTCGACACGGTGTAGACGTGATATTCCACGCATCATACATTGACGACGAAGGTACCAACAACATCCTCCCTCTGTGTCAAATAAGTGACTAACGACACAGGAATGAACATGCTCGAAGCTAACAAAACTAAACACATCGTGGTCCCTGCCCTAAACTTCCCCATCAACACCCTCGAAGACGGCGAACGCTTCGGCTACCCACGCTCCAAAGCAGAAGCAGCAGGCTACAAGACTGAAATAGAAACAGCGGTTCTCGCAATGCGCGAGATGCATCGTCGGGGCATTGTCGTGTTGCCGGGAGGGTGAGCCAATTCCCACTTCACCTTCCTCCTTCAATCTGTCAATGAATCAGATGTTAACAATCGGGCAGAGACTACGGCTTCGCTTGGACACCACATGGTACATACGCGCGCGACCTCGCGCATTTCACCAAGTTACTTGGCTTCACACCACATGAGGCTATTATCGCGGCGACAGCGGGTGTCGCGAAGCTGTTCATGCGGGAGCATGAACTGGGGAAGATACAGCCGGGGTACTATGCAGACTGTATTCTTGTGAATGGGGATCCGTTGGAGGATATTGAGATTTTGCAGGATCATGATCGGTTGGATATTATTATGATTAATGGGAGGGTGCATAAGGCGGGGAGGAAGGAGTATTTGGGGGAGGAAAAAGTGAGGAATGGGAATGGGGTTAAGAGGGGGTTGGAGACGGATGGGGATGTGGAAGTTCCGGTGGTGAAGAGGGCTATGCAGAAGGATTATTGATGGTTCGTGTCGTGTATCTGTACGTGATGTAGGAAAGGTTCAAGGTTGTATTATGAATCAAGGTTCTGGGCAAGCGTGGGAAGAGAAGGTCCGTATGGCTTGAAGGGGTCTCGAAGAGGTCATGGACGGCTCGAGCACATCCTTACGAGGCAAGTGTCCCGGCGCATCCTACGATAGCCAGCAGAAATCGGAACTCGTAAAGTTTTAGGTATGAACTCTTATTTCATTGATTTTTTTGCCATTGCCAATGTCATATCCCCACCGCCACTGTACGTAAAGCGGCTTGTGCATAGCAGGAAACCCAGAGCCGAACAAGGAAATCACACACCTAGAAGACAAGAGCAGCACCCTTGGTCTTCTTGTCACCACTGTAGAGGAAAACGCGGTTAGCATACACATCTGACACCTGAAGACAGTACAAGGGAACATACCCCAACTCGAAGTGCTTGCATCTCTTCAGAGAGAGCTGCTTCTTGGACTTGCACTGCGTGCACTCAAGACGCAGGACGATCTTCTTGGTAGTCTTGGCCTTCTTGTGGAAGATGGGCTTGGTCTGACCACCATAACCGCTCTGCTTCCGGTCGTAACGACGCTTACCCTGGGCGTACAGCGAGGCCTATACCACAACATTTGTATCAGCGTCATTGTCCTCCGGTGACCGTGTCGAATGAGGTATGGAAGTGACGCACCTTGCCAGCCTTGTACTGGGTAACCTTGTGCTGGGTGTGCTTGTGGCAGTCCTTGGACTTGCAGAACGTCCGGCGGGTTTTCGGAACGTTGACCTGGAGGCGCGGAGAGATAAGAATCAGCCTTCGGTTCTCACGAGATATGATTGCTGCCGGTCCATGTTCCTCTGTTCATCGGAGAAAATGTTGAAATCGAATCGGTGACGGTCATGAGTAGCGAGTATCGACAGCTCGTTTGATTGGGAGATTTGATAGCGCGCGGGTTCGTCGGCCGGGATTTTCGAAAAGCATTTCTTGGTGTGCTCGTCCGCGGTCGCGCCCTTGTCCTATTGCCTCAAGTATCGTGAAAGTTCGACTGTATTCTCGCTTGCGACGGGATTTTTCAATTCTTCTTTCGACCGCAGAGTGGAAAAGCAATAGTGTTGTATCCGAATCATTGACGCTCTCGCACAAAAAAAAAAATCGCCTCGCCGCACCGATAATTTGAATTTCATCCAATTTTCTCCGGAGGAAACAGCTGGAAATAGAACATCAAGGGACAGTATCTCCTTACCATTTTGACTGACTTGGCCGGATCGCGAGTTTGGTGGTCGGTGGATTGTCACTTGTCGGAGAGGTTCAAGTCGGGCTGGACGTGGATTGTGGGATTTCGTTCGCTTAGTGCCCTATCGGGATTGAGCCTAGCCGTTTTGGGAACCCTGCCAAGACTGTGTCATTATGCCTCAGGCATGAAACTTTTTTCTACGGTGATCTTTATGAATGCTGCCAACTTGATTGTGGAGTGAGAAAGGCAGTTGATAGTTTGATTCTTAGTTAAATCCCTTTCCGATAAGAACACACTCTCCCTTCCCGTACCATGATGCACCCTTACACAACTCCAAGCCCTTCTCATGTCCCACAACCCATTCGCCTGAGGAAATATTCCCACCCTCACTACTAGGCCAGTACTTCTGTTGCAATCCCTGATTGATATGCTCAAGTTTCTCCATCAACGCTTTCAGCTGCTCGCGATCAACGCGAGTTCCATCAAAGCCATCCTTCTCAAGCAAGAACCCATCATGCGTAATGAACCGTGCAATCGTGATATGCGCAGAAGGGACGATATACCTAGGAATCACTTTGATACCCGTCTCTGCGACTCGGTCGTATAGGTCCCGCCGCAGATGATGATAGCTATATGCCCCATAATCTGTGTTATCGGTCCCCTCTCCGGCTGCAGGGACAAAGCTCAACGCCATTGCTGATGCATCGTAGCTGATAATAGGCTTGATCAGGCGTGATCGGTGGTTGATTGTATACTCGGCCAGTTCTAGAATTATGCCAGTTGCTTCCAGTTCAGAGACAAGGCCCTCCAATTCTGAGCGGGTTCGCGAGTTGGCTAGTTCGAGTGTGGTCATGTGCAAGCCCTCGGACGGCGTAAACCAGATGGCTGTCATTGTTAATTATCAGGTCACCAACTCTGAGATGGAATACTAACATGGAGCAACGCTTTTCAACTCCCGCTGGATCTCACCAACCAGCTCCCGGATATGCTTTGGCGGACGAGCGTAAAAGGCGAGATTGTTTCTGTGGTCGATAAATGGTCCCTCGTCCTTCTCATTCTTGCCGATTTCTTGAGCGTGCAGTTTGCTCAGGATCTCGTCGAGGGTCCATCCGGGGAAATCTGGGCTGAGGATGGTAGTTTTATATTGCGCGTTTCTTGCGGAGCGGTGAGTTTCGTATCGAGTTTGTAGTCGAGTCTGCGTAGATTGGTAAGTCAGCTGTCTATTCTTATAGTAGAGAGTTGATTTGAAAGGGGGGGGTGTATCATACTGGGTCATTGTCACACTCCGAAATGAGCTGCTGGAATGGGTTCTGGTTTGGAGCTGTCTGCGCCATAGTAAATTTATCTTCGACCTCGTGTATGCGGTTCTTGTGGATCGAGGTGTTGAGCTCAATTTGCTCGCTCGAGAGAAATGGAAAATGATCGCCTGTTTGGTGTACAGCCTCAAGGCACTTGCATGGATATATATAGTTGGAGAGCTGAATGCTTCTTTAGATTCTTCCAGCAATGCCTAACCAGAACAGGCAAATAAAAGAAAGACAAAAGCAAATTGAAAGAAAACAATATATACAATTCTTCAACTAGACAAGAGCATCTTTGCTTTCCTACTATTTGCTACCGCTGCATGTACTTGTATCACCGCATCACTGCCCATCCATCACCTCCCCACCTTTAGGAACCCCGCCGCGGCGAAGCTCTTTTTATTCTCCAACGAGCCCGACAACCAGCACTTCCTCCATAGATTTCTCGTTTTCGCAAAGCGTCTGTTTTCGCGTTTTCCTCATTTATCTATCCTTCCTTTAGAGCAATTTCAGCTGCGCTGATCTTCCGTCAAAATGTTAATCAAGTGAGCGCTCGTCCCGCGGTTATTTTGTTGCATCATCGGAATAGCAGTTTTGGAGTCTTGCAGCTGCTAACATGCCCGTATCAATAGAGTCCGCACCCTGACCGGCAAGGAGATTGAGTTGGATATCGAGCCTGATTACAAGGTACTTTGACCTGCGCTACTCCTGTCTTCCCCGATAGCGAATCCCGAACCCGTCGATCCACGACCCCATAACTGCAGCCAGAAGGAACCCCGTACTAAAACGAATACAGGTCTCCAGAATAAAGGAACGCGTCGAAGAGAAAGAAGGCATTCCCCCGGTCCAGCAGCGACTGATTTTCGGCGGAAAGCAGATGTACGTCACGTCATCCTACCACCACCACCTCCTCCCCTACCTCCTCGTTTGAACAACTAGCTTACAAAAACGTCGATAAAAACAGGGCGGACGACAAAACAGCCTCGGAATATAACCTTGAAGGCGGTGCGACACTGCATCTTGTCCTTGCGCTTCGTGGCGGTTCACTGTGATCGGATTCGGAGCGGATTGAGTCGATGATTCGAATAAGTCTACTTTGCTTGCTGTTTGCTTTCGGTTACGAATACCAATACGAATACCTTATGCGATGATAATGTCCTGTCAATGAAATGAAAATTGTTTACTTCGGATGCGACCCTTGCGAGCCATCGTGTGTGCGGTCCTATACCCAAGATAGAGAGATATTTGCTTCAGCTTCTTATGAGAGTTCTATGCCGGGACAGTGAGGTATAGCGTGAGCGGAAAGAGAGCACTTGCTACTGACAAATAATAGACCAGGCGTTTCAGAATCAGAGTTTAAACAAGTATAGATTAAGATCCAGGTCAAATATTTTCGAGAAAGATGAAAGAAAATGATTAATATATGCTGACGCACCAGTTTCGCCGTGTGCCAAATACCAAAACTCCTTGGATGAGATATAAGCGCCGTTTTCCGATCCAATATAATAACATAAAATGCGAATAAAATAGACAAAAAAGTCCGCTCTAGCGCCCTGAAAATTCCAAAATTGCAGTGGTTCTCTCAGGTCACCTTCTTTTTCTTTGGTGGCATGAAGATGCTCGGAGCAGGTCTCTTGCGGATCGTTGCAATGCGTGGTGCCTGTGCTGGTGGTGTCTTGGACTGACCCGTATCTGATGTTGGCTCTGGACTAGCACGCTTTACGGCCTTCCGTTTCGGTTCCTGCGTATCATCTTGAGGCTCGGGCTCTGGTGAAGCTTCGAAAAGATCGTCGACCTTTCTTTTGGCTGGTAATGGTGGAGACGAATCTCCGGTTGCTGGTGTGGATGTTTGTGCCGGTGTTCTCGAGGCTGGAGAGCTAACGGGCTTCCCAGAAGTCAAAGCTCGCAACCTCACCTCTCTTTCCTGCAAAGATGGCGTAATAACAGGATTGTTCGATCCGAACGCAGGCTGCGACCTAGTCCGTCCTGGCGCTCTCAAAGCTGGATGCGCTTTCGAAGCTGGAGGGGCCTTTCGTGTAGCAAGAGGCTCAGAAGGCTGTCGATGCGCTTCAACAAGAGACCGCGGAGCCATCCTGACCTTTGACGCTCTGCTGTGCAGTTGACCAGTCGGAACAGCAAGGGCTTTATTCCGTTTCGGCGCAGAGAAGATGCTGCTTTTCTTCTTTCCATCCCCCGAGAACGAGCGCGGAATCTGCGGCCGCTCAAACGACCACGCAGAACCTCCCATCGGATCTGCAGAGATCCCGGAAGAAGAGGAAGCGAAGACCGGTGCAATACCACCTTTCTTCCTATCATACGCGGCATATCGTGCTCTCTCTGTCGGTTTCATCGGGGGAAGGCGCTGGTCGGTCACGAGCTTAGTACTGTGTTGGGCGCGCCTCGAGTTGATGCCCTCCATGGCCTGCTTCAGTTGTTCCGCATCCTTATCCACTTCCCTTTGCACTCGTTCTCGGAGATCGCAGTAGACTTGGTACCAGGACTCGGGGTGTTCGGGGAAATCGTATTCTTCCCACTTGGGGATGTCGCGCTTGATGAAACCGATCCACATTTCTTCATTGTCTTTCATAATGTGCGGTGATTGCAATTCGATCGATCGCTAGTACAGAAGATAGTATGTGAGCCTATGTCCTTCGAAACCAGATGCGACTGATCGATACTCACCAGTTTCTCGGGGCTTTCGATCTTCAGAAGGAATGGTCGAGCAAGAGAATATGGTATGCTGCCAATATCGTCGAGGTCTAGCAAGCAAAGGTTAGACATCTGTATCAGGAAGGTATCACTGGGGTTGCCTACACTTCATGTTTTTGACGGCAGCCGCCGTGGACAGCTGAAGGAGCGATGGGGCCGGCATTGTGGTGAATAGGAGGGACCAAATGAACATAAAATTGGTGGCATTAAGGATTCTTGAGGTGGTGAATACCCAGACGAGGGATGATTATTATGTAGAAAATAGTGAGACATTGAAGACATTCACCAGCGACAGTCGAGTATTTATATGGAGAGGAGTTGAATGAAATGATGCGCCGGCGATGATCCAAGGCGGAGCACTGTCACATGATATCATTGGCCGCTACGACGTTGAGTATGAGAGCACAAAATTATCACGGAAAGCGCATTAAATCTAGGACACGATCTCCTTGACAGCATCAATCCCGTCGATGTCCCATTGGTGAGCCGCAGTCCGTTCCATCCACTCCGACCAGTCCGAGAACGGAACGTTCATGATCTGCGCGTACTCCCAATAGTCAGGGTACCAACCTGCAAATTTCCAACCAAGGATGCCCGTGATCTTGTTCTGGTCATCGACCATGACATTCCAAGGCGCAATATCACCGTGAGTAAACACAGAGTGCTCAGATCGTGGCAGTAATTCAGGCAACAAATCTCTCAGGACCCGACCTCCAGCGTGAAGATAGCGCTCATACAGGCGAGCTCGCACCTCCCCATCACTCGTCAACGGCCGAGCTGGTTTCTGAAGATCCTCAAGCATGCCCTTTGACGGAGTGCCATCAGCGGCACATTGGTAAATACCACCGACCAGATCCGTGCGTTCAATATCCCGAATCCTCCAGACAATATCCCAAATCTCGCGACAAACAAACTCCTTGCTCTCCTGATCCAGCGTATCCCACTTCGATTCCAGAGTAGATCCTTGGATGTAAGTCATCTTGATCTCGCCATAGTCTTCAGAAGCATAGTGCTCGGTCGGACTGAAACTCGTAGATTTGACCCAAGGCAGAGGAACAGTGGTACGCTTCTGTGCAGCCACCGTGTTCATCGCTTCAGACTCGGCACGTCGTACTCTATATCCGAGCTTGGTCACGTAGGAGGAGTCATGGTTGACCACGAGCTTGCCGTCTCGGCTGGAGAGGACGGTGATGACTTCGTTTCTGGGGGAGAGGGTAGAGATGTCCAAGGGGTCCGGGCATAGGAAGACCGTTTGACCTCCTTTGAAATACCGGTTACCTTTCTTGAGACTCTCCGCTTGGGAAGGAACGCCGTTTGAAGGGTCGCTCATCGTGGAGAATTTCGATAGGTGGAAGATCGAGGTTCTTTGGTGTCCACTAATGAAAGGGCTAGTATGAGGACTTGTCAATAAAAAGCCTACTGAGACTGTAACAGATGCTCGAATAGAAAACAGAGAAGAAAGATATGGGTAGTTAACTGGGTCAAGGATGGCAGGACGGATCACCCATATCCAGAAGCTATGCGTGGGCAGTCACCTAATCGGGAAGGTGCCAGTCTGGGGGTTGAGAAGGCAAAAACAACCCACGACGGGAGAAATCGGACGAAATATCATACAAAATTAATGATCATTACCATATGAAGCCGTCAAACATAGGAGAATGCAATTATCATTCAACCAATTAAGTAAAGTAAATGGAATTAGGTATATTTAAATCGCAGTAAATAAGGGCTTATCGACCTCAGATAGAGGTCCATACTTCATTCGTCGTTCCTGTAGCTTCAACCACTAGACGTCTTCGCCATCTTAGGGTCCTTAGGATGGCTATTGGGCATCTGAGCCAACCATGTCGGTGGAGAGATACCAGTTTGTTCTTGGATTGTGCTCAAGAGCGGAGGAAGATTCTGCATAATGTTCCGAATTGGTGCAGATGAGTCGCCAACGTCGCCGTTTCCTAATCCCGATATGAGAAACACGTATATGGTCAAGGGAAGTTAGGGTGCTTACCAGTATTCCACGTAGTAATCTTCGGCTGAAGGCCATTAATAGCTTGGGCATTTGCGTGCGCCAGCTTCTCGTAGGTGCCGTTCTGCATCATCTGGAACTGCAGGAAGGCTTGAGGACCACCGAGAACGTCGACAAGGGCACCATATCCCTTAGAAAGTTCCAGCAGACCTTCAGCATCGCGCTGTTGCTTGTAGAAAGCAGCGTCTGCTTCTTTGCTCTGGCGGTAGTCTAGAATGGGGTCAGCCGGCTTCGATCCCAAACGGGATGAAAGAAAAACCTACATAACGCATCTGCTTCCATCTTTCGCTTGTACAAGTGTGCATCTGCTGCCTTATGCTCCGTGTAGTAAGATGCGTTAGCAGTTTCCTGCGCAGCCTCGCGCGCAACCTTGCTCTTGGTGACTTCGTTCGCCCTGCGCCGTTCCAACTCAGTCTCCGCCATTCTAGCCTGGAGCTGCTTTTGCAACTCTGCTTCTTTCATCTCGTTCTGGCGCGTTGCAGTAATATTGCTCATTTCGTTTCTGGCATTCAGCGCTGTTTTACAGTCCACAAGGTCAGCGTCTGCCTTGGCCTTTTCGGCCTTTCGCTTGGTTTCCAGGACAGCAGTTTCGGCATCGATCTTGGAGATTTCCTGCTTGGTTTTGCCTTGCTTCTCGGACTCTCCGATTTCACCACGCATTCGGGCCTCAGCAACATCAACCCTGGCTTGATTGAGGGCTCCCTCATGTGCCTTGCGGCTCAAAAAGGCAAAATACTCGCTGCCAGGGGTATCTTGAAGTTCCTTGACGTTGGCGTTATAGCTGCACAGTTTATCAGTACGGGTGCCGGTATCTCTTGGATTAAGCAGAGGCTTACATTTTCAAACCGAATTCTTCGAGCTCATTCTGAACATTCCCAATGACTATCCCAAAAGTTAGTTTCACAAGTAAATATGCCCGGGTATATAGCACGCTTTACCCTTATTCTTAAAAACCTGTCGTTCCTTGAAGATCTCCTCCATCGACATGCTAGAGACAATCACCCGAGTCTCTCCTTCAATAATCCCCTTCACGATATCCTGGACGTGGTGCTTCACAGTGGAAGCAGGGGCATTCTTTTGTAATTCTGATCCAGAGTTCCCAGAAAGGAGACGGGCATATTTCTTGAGTGCGTCCTCCCCGGTCTCAGGACCGATGGTGAACACCGCAGGCAGGGAGAATTGAAGCTTCTCGCTGGTCATTGCCTGGAGATTCATCGAGAAGTCGAACGGTGCCACGGAAATCCTTGCACACTATTTGGTCGGTTAGTATCTCAGAAGTACCAACCGCTAGAGGCTGTTTGCCTTTAACAGATACTCACTCGCTGCCATGGCATCACAAGGGACTTCTTTTTGATCTGGATATCGTCGACTCCTGCTCCTGTGAGCAGGAGATATTCGCTTGGTCGAGAGATTGCATAACGCATTCTGCCGTTGTATAGTATACTTGTAGTCAAGGGTAAATGTTCACGATATCAAACAAGAAGATAATATCGATAGTTAGCAGTATTTCAGCCCTATTCGTTTTGCAGAGTATGAACAGAAAGAAACAAGCAGGGAGATCCTTGGACGCATTTGTACCACAATATTTACCAGACACGAGACAAGGCTGCGCCCTTTGCCCTTCTTGTTATCCAACAGCCATGATAGTCATCCTTTAAGCCTCATCTACGATACGGCTGTGACGGCTAGGGCTTATGTCGGAGCCGTATGAGGCATGTGACTCAATATAGGCCCATAGTCGGGCGCTGATTATAGCCTCATCCGCAGTAGTTTCCTTGTCCGAATGACAAGCATCATCAGCATCACGGGGCACTTGACCAAGGGCTGTGCATACAACAAAGTTCAAGGCGTCCGTGTATCCTAGTAAACATGCCGTTGCCCGGTCATGATATCGTGTTGATCACTCGATAAACAGGGGTGGAAACCGAGACGAGCGATGAGAGGCTCACAGCATTTCTATTAAGGCACCAGTAGTTAACTACCGGAATAACTAACTAACTATTCAAGAAGCCAGTGATGTCTTCTGGAAGTATTTTGGAACGATTTTCGTTTCTGGAGTGAGAACCACGTGACTGTACTGCTCCACAAAAGCAAACAGTGCAAAATGCTTGCTTGGGATAGCGTCATCGGTGGAGGGGTGATATGGCACGAACTCCAAGAACCTCGCTTTGCTTCACATTTCATTGATAGTCGGTTAGGCAAAGACTTTTAATACTTAATTTATAGCCCGCAAGGTACGTACAGCATCAGTTTCGAAGAACAGCTGCTATAGTTTGGCGAACAGACGGCTCAGTGGAGCTCGAGGTGCCGCATATATAGCTCTTCATGGAAGCTGACGTTGATTGCATATACTAATCATCTGTTTCTCATAGGAATAATCGGAAATCATGGCACCCCGCTCGCAATTGGAGATCTTCACATCATCGGTCCAGCGCCTGGTCAAGGAAGAGGCGTCTTATCACAGCGAGATCAAGCAACAGACGGAGCGGATCAAGAAGCTAGAAGCTCAGGATGAAGGCGACGAGAACAGAGAATACTTGCTGAACCAGGAGGTATGCAATGCTGTCGATTTGCCGGATGGACTAGTTCAGGCTTGCTAATACACCCGGAACAATAGCGCCGCGCACTCGAGGAAAGCAAGAATGTTTTACCTAGCTTGAAGACCAAGATTGAGGACACAGTAGCTATGCTTGAGAGTCTACTGGTGAGTCCATTGCACCGGATTCCATTATACTAGAGCTGTCAATACTGATACCCGACGCCAGATCGAGGAGGGCAAGAGGGGCTCCGAGAGCAATGTCGAACATATCACGGCTGCTAAAGAAGCCGTTGCAAAGGCTAAAATCGCTGAGCGGGAGATTTCATAACTAGGGTGCCCACGAATTGAAAAGTCATGATTCCAATTATGAGACAAAATTTGCACCAAGAGATGAATATAAACTAAGAAAGGTCCCGCCGTAAATGAGAATGAACGCCACCAAACCCAACAAACTCCGTTCCCTGCGATTTGAACAAAGGCAGCATACTCATAGTTATGTGGTATCCATCTTGTCTGGCACTTCTTCTCCTTCCTCCACCTCACCCTCATCCACCATGTTCGTATCTTCCTGATCGGCAGCATGCTTTTCTTGCTTGTCCTCAGCCGTAGTCACCTGTCGTAATGGGGATGCGGCTCTTGTTGTGCCAGACTTATCCGCTTGTAGAGACTGTCGAGTAGTGTCATCTGGAATCTGCGAGGATGTCGGGCTGTCATGCTCGGGGCGTGGCGTGTTTGCTTCGGATTTCCCCTTTGGAGCATCACCCTCGTCTCCTTCACCACCTTCCTGCATACCTTCCCTCCGTTCAACCTCTTCCTTCTCATCGCGAATGAGGCGCCGGAGCTGCATGCCTTCCTCAACGATACGACCGAATTGCTCGCGTCGGTCTGACCACGTCGCGGCATATTCCGTGCTCTCCTTCTCTAGGTCGAGGATCTCCGCCTGCAGTTTCTGGAGGTTCGCTTGCTGGTCCTCACGCGGTTTCAGAAGCCGGTTGCTCGTGATTTTCTCGGCTAGGTCATCGTAGCTCTTCCGCAAAGCCAGAAGTCGTTGCGCCTCCTCCAACTGCCCTCGTAATTCCCCCGTGTTACCTCGCACAGCCTCCATTGTAGAAAGGATCCGAAGCTTCTCAGCAGCATACCGCTCGCGTTCCTTCTCATTGCTCGTAAGCAAGAACTGGATGCGCGCGATGCTTCCCTCAAATGCAGCGAAATCCAACGTCACATCCTCGCGGAAATGGCGCCATCCTTCCAGTCGTTTCTGTTTTTCGGCTTCGGCGGCGATTGTCGCCCCTTCGTCTGCGTCGTCCGGTGGAGGTGTAGGTGGGAGCGTCGCGTTGGTGACTACTAGCGAGCTAGGGTCCAATAGGCGTCTCGATATCCGCTTGAATGGCTTTTCTTCGACGTTGAGGAGGCGCGACTTGTGAAGAGCATCTGTGGTCAGCTAAGTTAGCATGGCGAGTTCGAGATAGCAATACTTTCAAACGGTTTTCTCACCCTCTTCGGGTTGCTCCAAATACCCGTATGATGCCATAATGGGATCCCCAAAATTCAAAAGACAATACCGGTTCTTGATAGCGGACTTCTAACCACTTGTGCAAGGCTGCGAAGTGGCCGACCTGATCGTCCGGAGCAAAAGCGGCGAGCGGTCTGGGCTTTCACTCGCGTTATGCTACCGAACTACAGAGTATAACACTATGCTAGGAAAAGACCTACTGCATACATATTGAATCTTAGATATTATTACAACACAAAAATAAGTACTAAGGCATTGGTTCCTACGTACAAGTATAACCTTGACCTGGAGACATCATGGTCACATGACATTACTAGTTCGGGGTTAGTCTTGCAGCGGAGATGCGGATAAGGCTTTTCCCACGTCTTCGGTGCTCATTTTTGATACTCGTCTTGCTGAAGTCCAGCACTTGAAAACAATAAATGAGTCAAGAAACGACCTCAATTGAGTAACCAGAGCGGAAGCCAACCATGGCATCGTTATTAGCGAATCAAACAGTTCCGCACTGCGGAATTCGGCACTGCACCGCTACGGCTTCGGACGTCCGATGAGGAGCTTGACTGCCGACCCATAGAATCCTAATATAGCTGACCCGAACTTCCTCCAATAGTGATGGCGCGGCAGATGCTGCTTCGTAAAAAGACAAAATCCCCGAGCCCGTCGGGAGAGTCTCCGACGCATGATAACGGACGGACCATCGTTGGTTGGCGCATAATACGGAGTATGGCTTCGGTCAAAGACAAACGTCACTGACACACAGGGATCAGCGAGTTGCTGGCGTGAAAAGTTTTCCTTTCTTGAGACTTGAAATATGGCCATGATTCTTGCTGCTGTTTGTGTTGAATGAACGGTTATTGTCAAATACTTTGCGCCGTGTTGCAGATCCAGTGGGTTTACACATCGATATTTGCGCTTGAGAAACACGCCCGGAGATCTCACGAGTTGGTATGGTCATCCACGCGGCATAATTGACGTTTCCTGGCATCGTGGTCTGAACCTTGAAGCAATATGAACCGACAGCAACAAGCCGCAGAGCGGTCTCTTCATGACCAGACAGATATATTGCCATTTCGCAAGTTAATCATTGTCTTTTCTGGTCTCGCAATCTCGCTACTCGTCACTTTCGTGGACCAGAATGGAATTAGTGTCACCCTTCCGACTGTTGCCAACGATCTCAATGCACAGAATTCCATATCCTGGGCCGGTACATCGTCCCTAATTGCCAACACGATGTTCACAGTACTTTATGGTCGTCTCTCGGACATATTTGGTCGCAAAATTGTATACTTAAGCGCATTAGCTTTGCTCTGCATTGCGGACTTGCTGTGCGGTCTTTCGCAAAATGCTGCCATGTTCTATGTCTTCCGTGGTGTAGCTGGAATTGCTGGCGGTGGCGTTACGTCTCTGACTATGATTATTGTATCGGATGTTGTGACTCTCCAAGAGCGTGGCAAGTACCAGGGCATCCTAGGTGGTGCCCTCGGCCTTGGAAATGTGATAGGTCCATTTATAGCGGCTGCATTCATTATGAGATCGACATGGCGCGGATTTTTCTGGCTTATCTCTCCCCTGTCTGCGCTGTCGATTGTTGTTGGATATCTTCTTATCCCAAACAATGCCCGGAAGGATGGCTTCAAGAAGAACTTGGGAAGGATTGATTTCTATGGCATCCTTGCATCTTCAATTGCGGTTATCTTTATACTGCTTCCCATTTCTGGGGGTGGTTCTTACTTCAACTGGGGCTCTGCCATGGTCATCAGTATGCTGACCATTGGCGGTTGCTCGCTTATTGCATTCATCTTCATTGAATGGAAAGTAGCCGTGCTACCTATGCTTCCCAGTACGTCCCTCGAATTATCGGTATATGTCCGCAATACTGACTGTTGAAAGTTGTGTTCTTCAAGAACAAGGTGATTTGCGCACTTTTCCTACAAAGCTTTCTGCTGGGAGCCGTTTACCAAGCCTATCTCTACTATCTGCCACTCTACTATCAGAACGCGCGAGGATGGACACCGATTGTTTCTGCTGCCCTAACAGCACCTATGGTCGCCTGCCAATCGATTGCCTCTATCGCATCAGGCCAATATATCTCACGACTCCAACGTTATGGAGAAGTGATTTGGTGCGGGTTCGGCCTCTGGACATTGTAAGTCATTCAGCAGGCATCTTTTACTTTACTGCGCTAATCGTTCCATAGAGGTGCTGGGTTGATGCTGCTTTTCGATCGCACAACTAACCCCGGTATCATCGCTGTTATCGTTGGAATTGCTGGAATCGGGGTTGGATTTACATTCCAACCGACCATGGTTGCCTTCCAAGCACACGCCACAAAATCACAACGTGCTGTCGTCATCTCAGACCGCAACTACTTCCGTTGCTTGGGAGGTGCATGCGGACTGGCCATTTCTGCTGCTCTCCTACAAGCCACGCTGAAGTCCAATCTGCCAGATGGATACCAAAATTTAGCCCACTCTACATACAGTCTCCCATCAAAATCCAGTATTCCCGAGGCAGACTGGGAGAACATCCTTACTGCGTATGCAAAGGCTTCTCATGCGGTATTTATCTTGCAGGTCCCCCTTATCGGATTGGCTTTTATTGCGTGCATGTTTATTCGGGATCGAGGTTTGGAGAGACCGAAGGATCCTCATGAGGAGGAGGCAATCAAAGAGCAGCAACAGCAACAGCATCAACAGCAAAACCAAGAGAAGTCTGACGCCCAGGATCAATCCGGGCAGGCGCCCGACACAGAGGTGGTCGAGGAACGGCCGACCTCTCAGAATAAGGAGTATGAGGGATTACCCTCAAGTGACGGCAGACATCCGGCTCGGTCACCTTGTTGAATTGCAGCAATTTCCTGCTTAAAAAGGATAGATTGATCATTGCATTAGCGGTGTTTCCAACAGTGTATCTAATATAAGGACATATCATAATTCTGTAATGCAAAAAAAAGCCATATTCTGGATGATTTCAGCCGAATAAATACTGTAGCATCCTTTGGGCTCAGCTCGAGTCTACATAAAGAGCGCAAGAGGAATATAGGGCACAACGGCTCCAGCCGATATTTCTTGGCATTCCTTTTCCGGTAATCCCGATGTTTCGGCGCCTCCGTCAACCCAACTCCGACGACATTCGGACAGCACCCATTGCCAAATGACAGGCAATAAGTATGCTTTGCCATGGATATCCACGAGATATCGACTCATGAGCCATCCCTATCGCCATCCAGAGACTACAACCCCCGGAAGCGAGGCAGGACGGCTTGCACGCGGTGCAAGTTGAGGAAGCAGAAAGTAAGTGAGCCGGATAGACTTACAAAAGTGCAGTGGTTAATGGATGACAGTGTGATAATGAATATCCGGTGTGTTCTAACTGCCAGAAAGCCGGGATTTTATGTGACAAATCTACCGTGCGGCAGGAAAATGGGCAGCAGAACGAGTTAGTGACCTCTTGTGTTTATTATACAGCCTAGACTAATGTATCACAGATATATCCGCTCCCTGGAAGATCGTGTTGCATATCTCCAATCTGAGCTGGAAATTAGACCAGCAAGGACTGACCCTGGTAGCAATGTCACTCAGTCCACCCCGACTACTTTTCAGTCCTCTGAGAACCGAAACACGGCAGAGAGACCATCAACAACTGGCATCGACAATAATGCCGTTGGAGAGCTTGTCGGCTTTCTTGCTTTGAATTCGGAGGCCCCGGCATATGTGGGCTCCAGCTCGGGGCTTCCACTTGCTTCAAATCTTGGAGAAATGGTTCAGGCGACGGTGTGGAATCAATTTCTTAATCCGTCGCGGGCTCAGCAAACCTTCGCGAGTCAAGGTAATAGACCGAATTCGAGTCATAGGACATTAGACCCGACCGCTCAACCGTCGAGCACTAGTGGCCCTCTCGGACAGGGGAGGACAGAAGAGCTGCTGAAAGGCGCAGAACCCCCGAATGATGAAATGGGGTCCAAGGTTTTGCAGGCATACTTGACCAGGATCCATGTTCGTTATCCTCTTCTTGACAGGGATGAATTGTGGCGGTTACATGGGAACCGTTGGCGCTTGGCGAAGCTGAAGCCTGAGGAGATTACCAGAAATGAAAGATTTGGCATCTTCAAGTTATACTTGGTGTACGCTATTGGAGCGACGATGATCCAGTTGAGTGAGAAGTATACCTATATGAATCCTGAGGTGAGTAATAATACATTTATATTATCATGAACCTGCGTCCTGACCAGTTACAGAGATACTACATGACCGCTTTACAACAAGCACCCGCCATGTGCGAGACACGGTCAATTGAAAACATCGAAGCCATGACTCTCCTTGTGGTGTACCATCTCCGATCCTCCTCGAGTCAAGGCATCTGGTATATGATTGGACTCGCGATGCGCATTGCTATTGATCTGGGGCTCCATCGAAAAGCGAACGAGGCCAACCTCGACCCGTTCACTGCGCAGATGCGCCGACGACTCTTCTGGAACGTCTATTACCTAGAGAGGGTCATATCTATGTCTCTTGGCCGTCCTTTCAGCATCGCAGATCGGCATATTGATCTCCCTTTACCCTTGGATGTAGATGATACGGTGCAAGATCCGGCATTACTGGCTGCTCCTCCACCCTCTGACCGGACGACTACATTGACCTTCGCGGTGTATCTTATTCAACTTCGTCGCATCGATTCCAGAATACAGCACAAAATCTACCGCGCAGATAAGCCACTGCACACTCTACGCTCAAAAATGGACCGGCTGTTCCTTGAATTGCAGGAATGGAGGGAATCCGCACTTCTGCGTAATTTTAGCGGTTCGGATTTGGACTACACAACGCTCCATTACAACCGCGCGTTGCGGATTCTAATCCAACCGTTCTTACCAGCTCTCTCGCTTGCAGATCCATACTATCATATTTGTCTCAATGCTGCAGGGGACATCTGCCAGACCCACAAAAGGCTTCATCAGACGCTTGAATATGGCCATTCCTTCCTGGCAGTTCAGACTGTTTTCATGGGGGGAATTACGCTCTTGTATGCACTTTGGACGCACACGAATGAGGTCTGGTCTGTCAGGATGAGCAATGATATCCGCGCCTGCTCAACGGTCTTATTCGTGATGGGTGAACGAGCAGCATGGGTGAAAAAGTACCGCGATGCATTCGAACTGCTCGTCAACGCTGCAATGGAGAAACTCGAAGGAAATGAGAACACCAAGGCTGCAGGGATGGCTGAGTTGATGACAGCTCAACACAATCAATGCACAAATGCCGTTCCCGACAACACTACTGCCTTTGGTATGCCCAAGAACGAAGATATTACCGCGAGCAATATGCCGACTGAGAATCCAATCGGACTGATGCCCGAGCCGGCGCTAGGAGGAATAACTCAACAACAGATGGATAGTAACTACTACGGAGTGCGGATGGCTTTACATCTTGCTCCTTGGATCGACTTGGATGCGGACAGTCCATTTTGGATGCCTGACTTCGAGACGTTGGAGAATTTGTCTGGGATGCAGTGGAATTATGGAGATCCGGCTCCATTTGACGCGCTTTGAAAGGACTATACGCATATCAGCAACAAGTTAACAAATAAATCAAGTGTTACTGGTGTATTGTATGAGTTTTGTACTGGCTCGTGTCCTTGGTAAAATCAGCCCCCCGGGCCATTTGCGTCCTTGGTAGAATCAATTGCTAGTCCTCATGGCTATCTTTAATGACGAGCCCTGGGCCTCTTGAGTATTGGCTTGCGTCATCCAGCAAATTCTCAAACACACAACGCATCAACATCAAGTTCTCCAATATCCGCTGCCGATTCCGCAAGCCATGACACCTTTTAAACAGCCTAGCAACGCCAAGGTATAGATACTACCAATCTATTTCCCTGCGGACGAGATCCTCAAACTCAAAAACAGTATTTTTTGGAAACCGAACACACCAGTAATTATCCGGCAACTACCACTAGAAGGCAATCAGCAAGCTAACATTATCTTGTTGATCCTCTAAATTGTTCACAATCATACATTGAATCTCCGGTGGAAGATAAAGTATTCCCTTAAGTAACAATGGTAGGATGTCGTATGAGACACACGATTTGATATGGCGAGGTGCACAGAAGCCTACAGCTCAATATTTGAGGCAACTGTATCCACCCAGAGGCTCAATTGTCCTGTATTCATACGCTGACATGGGTCACTGGAAATATCACAAAGCAAGGCAAAGCTCTAAACGACTTCGAAATCACTGGCAACCGTTACATTATACCAATAAACGGTAACGAAGAGGGATTGCAGTAGGAACTACCATATCTTCCACGTCGTTCAATGCAAGATAGTCAATAAAAAAACGGGCCGAATACGAGAATAACCTAGATAAGTCCAAACAACCTCCGGTTACAACGCGATGTCCTTTGAAGTAATATTTAACTTGCAGTTCTGAAAAAGAGCGTGATGTAAGCCTCACCATGACATAAACCAGCTAGGCTATAATAGTCTTTTCAAAAAAGACAATTGTAACATACCGCACATCAATCATGAATAAAGGCGAGCCAACATACTGCGTTGTATGCTCTATGGATATAGAAATAAAGCGTGAATTGCTATCCATCTTTCGAGAACGTCCAGACTGGAAGGACGAAAATTCTTCATTGATTCTGCCGAGCTGGAAGACACATATTTCCAAGTGCCATGGACATGGAGCACATTATTTCGGGCGAGTAAGTAGAAATCGCCCCTTTCTGGTTTTCCTGGCATAGACTTAGATTGATAATAGTAATTCCATCCAACCCATATGCACTACTAAATGAGGAATACTCAAGATAGCGAGTCCACCTCTCCGGAGTTGGTTGGACAGAGAGGGCACTGGAAAAAACGTGGAGACCCACTACCTGTGCCCATGGACAAAGACTCAGCCCAGATCGGACAGATCCCTAAAGGACCCCGTCTCCAGGGTCGCTTTAAGCAATGTCATCCACCACCTTTCGCTTGTCAACCGGGCAGCATGCTTTCCCAACCTCTTGGGTATTTCATCCACGAGCGTTGCTGACACTTAGGACGGCGAGAGATTGGGGCCAGCAATCTTGAGAAAAATCTGGATCTTTTCCTAGTCACTGTCCAAAGGACAATAGACGAAGTTTTGGAAGATAAGCCCTGGGGAGATTCAGAGGGATATTTCTGCAATTGGGTACTTGCGAAATACCCGGTGGATGAATTCATGAAGGATCCTCAGCGGTACATGCAAGAATGAATTGACAAGCTCAATCACCGGTATCCGGTTCCTCGTCGCCTGATGCATCGTGATCCGATGAATATCCCCGAACTTCGAACCATAATAAACGAAGCAACCAACCGAGGGCCGATGACCCAGTTTTCAGGAGACTCGGGATTATTGCGTCTTCCATAAGATATCCAATGGTTGATTGCGGATACACTGGAAGATCCGCAAGAAATCAGCAGTTTGCTTATTGCATTTCGATGGCAGTTGCCGGATGGATATTGGCGTGCTCGCTCTGGAAAGGAGCTTGCGGGCGTTGTTTTTGAATTCGAGCACCTCGTCCATAACATAGACTGGAGGTATTTATATTATAGGACTCTCAGGCTGATGAAAATGTCTCATGGCTTGCGGAATTGAAAGCGGATATTGGAGGACTTGAAGTTGATGCGCCGTGTGTTCTGGGATTTGATGGAGGAGCACGAGCAACAAAAGAACGCCTGAGGCAACTAACTAACGCCGCTGTTTACTTTTTCAGTTGGCGTTGGTCACATTCTTATTGCGCTCCCTGTATTTTCGCTTTATGATGCTTTTTCTTTCCCCATTCTTCTTTGGAAACAAGTCCATACAGACATGCCATGGAATCACTAAGCCCTAGACAAGTTGTCGTTAGCATGGCGCAATGCTTGCGATGATTTATGTCTGCATGGGCACATGGCCAATAGAATAGTGTGACGACCCAGCAGCCGTCATGAAAGTCACGGTTTCAGTGCTATCAGCATTCGCTAACGGACTTCGATTTGCCCCAGACAGAGTCGGTTCGTGAAGATATTGTCGTGGACACCCACGAACCGATATAACGTGGGGACTAGAGAGGAGCAACATATTAGTTTTAGTGAGTTATGCATTAGTTTCTGATAGACATGTCTTCGGTTACTTCAGGTTAAGAATTCATTATTATCTGTAAGAGGTACTCATGTTCTGGTTCTACTAGTCCATTCATGACGCACTCGAGCGATCGTATTATCCCCAGAATAACCTAAGCAGGAGCAGACGTAGTAAGGCCCTTGCCTATTCGCTTAATCTGGCCTCCATAGTATATCTAACAAACCATCAGCAACAGTCCCGATATGTTAACAAGAGGAAGGAAAGGAAACTCACACTCTCAGCCCCCGCCCCAATCACCTTAATCGGAATTAACCGCGCATACCACGGCAATCCCACCTTCTTCAACGGCAACCCCGCCTCCCCATTCGAAAGACTCTCATCCAGCAACAACTGCGGGAACTTCGGATTCACAGCCGCCGGTCTACCAATACCGATGATATCGCAGGCATTCTGTTTTATGGCGTCTTCGGCGCCGGCGCGCGTGCGGAAACCGCCTGTTAGCATTAGGATGAGGTTTGGGAAGCGGGCGCGGGTTTCGGTTGCGAAGGAGAGGAAGAAGGCTTCGCGGGCAGAGGTGCGGGTGGGTTGTTGGGGTTGTTCGAGTTGGGATTGGTCGCTGTAGCCCATCATCTGCGTAGTACACAAGTCAGTCTTCTATGTGAGAAATGGAGGGGTGGATGGGGCTACCTTTGGGTCTGAGTAACTTCCACCGCTGACTTCAAGGAAGTCGATTCCGGTTTCTGTGAGCAACTTGATCTGGGTCATGGTGTCTTCGAAATTGTCGGAGCTGTGGTCTGCGGAGTTGAGCTTGATGCCGATGGCAAAGTTTGCAGGGACGACTTTTCGGGTTTCTGTTATGATGTCCAGGACGAATTTGGTTCTCTTCTCAACGGAGCCTCCGTATTCATCTGTGCGAAGGTTTGTCTGTTGTTGTCAGTACCAACTGGCTTCCAATGTACGTAGAGATCGTACCTTCGGATTCAAGAATTGATCTAAGAACGTTAGCATTACCACCCAACCCCAGAAACCGAAAACATACCAATCAAATACCCATGCGCCCCATGTAACTCCACCCCCGAAAACCCAGCATCAGCCATCAACCTCGCCGCATCCACATACTGCCCAACAACACCCTCAACCTCTCCGCGTGTCATCTCCCTCGACACCGGAAAAGCAACCCTACTCACAGCACACTCAAACCACCCCTCCCCAATCCTCAACGGAACCGCACTAGGCGCAACAGTCGACGCAAAAAGGCCCCGTTTGCCAGCGCCACGGAACGACTGGCGACCTGGGTGGCAGAGCTGGACGATGGCTGGGGTGCCGTGTTGCTGGCATGCTTCTGCGTATTTGGCCCAGGATTGCACGAGGGTGGGGTTTTGGTCTGCGGTGGTGTAGGTGGAGGGTGGGGCGAGGTCGAGGGGGCTTCCTAGGTGGTTTATGTCGACTTGGACGTTTCCTGCGTCGTTTTAGTACTTATCAGGTTTGAGGGTGAGGGTGAGGGGGGACTGACCGGTGAGAATCGCGCCCCATCCGCCTTGGCCCCATTGATTGTAGGCTTCGATTAGGTCGGGGGTTGGGTTGTGGTCCCAATCGGCCAACATTTCCGCCATTGCGGCCTGTATTGTTATCATCTTATCTACAAATACCTCAAAAGAAAAGATCACATACCTTGGCAAACCGGTTAGGCAAGACCAACCCGCAAGGAAGTTTAACAGCATCATTCAAAGGGGAGGCCATCTTGCTCTGTGCAATAATCCGTATTCGTCAACAATAAAAGAAAAAAAAAAAAAAAAAGCAAACTAGGGGCAACGACCTATAAAACCACCAAACGCGACGATCGTGAGATAAACTCACTAATGTAGAGGTTAAGTAACTAGTTAGTTGCCGAGGCTGTCACTGCCGGCGGAGAGATTCATGTCCCCATTTCCCCGACGCTAAGCTTCTTTCCAGAACAAACCAGAATGGTCCAAGCTTGGATCTGGCTTTAGACGAATCGTTTCCCCGGTCAGAGGATTAGGCTATGGTGGGTGGATCGTCGCCGTTGAGGAGTCGGGGTTTTGAGTCTCACCGGTTTCACGTGATTTTGGCAGATGGGGTCTAGACGACAACTCTTGGCGTGATCTGGTAAGGCTTGCGAGGTCTATGTATCTAGAGGATTTGATATTCATTAAGAGTATTTCGAACTCAGATAACTCATTAGTAGTTGGGCTAGCGTGAGGATTTGGGCAATATATACTATCGTCTCCGCAGGCAAATGCAACAGCAGAGGAAGATTTATAACTACGATAGCCTTAAGGCAGGAAGCTACGCAAAAAGGAATCTGTCCATGAATATCCACAGCTTTTATTATCCAACCTAGACAATCAATGCACACCTCCCAACCAAGACCAGCCAAGACCGGGAGTCATTATATAAACCAAGAACGGGGTATAAGAGGAATACACGCAGTGCATCCTCGATGCGAAAGGAAAGAAACGAAAAATCGGAAGAACGCTCGAAATCAGAATCGCCTGGACAAGCCAGTATTAGAAAACCAAAAGAAAAACAAAGCCCGAAATGAGGTACGACGCTTCACCAATCTCGATGGATCTGCGACAGCAAAAGACGAAAAGGATATGTTTGCCGCTTACAGCTTAGCGTTCTCATCGTATCCATTCAGAGCCGGGAACGAGCCCAGACTCGACAGCAGAGCGCCAACCTCCTTCTCCAGAGCGCGGACCTCGGTGTGAGGGTTATACATGCGAGCCTTGATCCAAACGTCCAGACCCTCGTCGTTCATGGTGCGCAGGTTGGTCTCGCGGTCGACCTTGCCTTCCTGGGCAGCACGGATGACCTTACGGGCAACCACAACACTGACCTCGCGGATGCGGGTGATGTCGGGGTACAGGAGACCACGGTCAATCTCTTCAGCAGTCAGGGCCTGCGAGAGGGCCTCGCCAGAAGCGTAGATCATGCTGTCGGTGACCTTGACGGCCTTGGATAGGATGGTTCCCATGCCGATTCCGGGGAAGACGTACATGTTGTTACCCTGGCCGGGGTAGTGGGTGCGGGTCTCGCCGGTAGAGTTGGTGAAGGAGATAGGTTGGAAGGGGGAGCCAGAGGCGAAGAGGGCGCGACCGTCAGTGTTGGTGACAGCGCTTTCGAAGTCGCACTCAGACTTGGAAGAGGGGTTGGAGAGGGGGAAGATGATGGGGGCGGTGTTCCAGTCGGCCATCTTGCGGAGAATCTCGGGTGTGAAGACACCGCCGATGGTGGACAGACCCATGAGGATGGTAGGCTTGACGTGCTCAACCACCTTCTCGAGAGTCTTATGTTGCTCGCCCTGGTTGTCTGTGCGGGCAAAGTAGACCTTGTGGTCGGCCAGCTTGTCACCCCGGTCGGTGGTGACCAGACCCTTGGTGTCGACCAAGTAGAAGCACGCGCGAGCCTCATCCTCAGTCATGCCCTCACGCACGAAGAAGTCGACGATCTGCTTGGCAACACCAACACCAGCACTGCCCGCACCGAAGAAAACGGCACGCTGGTCCTTGCAGGGAAGGCCAGAGCGCTTGACCGCGTTGATGACACCACCGAGGATGACGGCACCAGTGCCCTGAATATCATCGTTGAAGCACGTGTAAGTGTCACGGTAACGCTCCAGAGCGGGGAAGGGGTTCTTGAAGTCTTCGAATTGGATCACAATACTATTTTCGGCCGATCGGCCCCGATTAGCTCCCCGTTTCTCCGAATGATCGACAATGAGTCACTCACCCTGGCCAACGCTCGGTCAGAGCGGCCATCAGTTCATCCATGAATTCCCGTTCCTCTTCCGCGGTAATCTTGTCGTGACGGCTACCCATGTACAACGGGTCTTCCCGGAGAGTCTTGTTGCCAGTGCCAAGATCCAGGGTCAAGGGCAGAGTAGCCTCGGGACGGATACCAGCACATGCAGTGTAGAGGGCCAACTTGCCAATCGGAATACCCATACCGTTAATACCCAGATCACCGAGGCCCAGAATACGAGAACCATCGGTAATGCAAGTGATCTCCACGTTGGTCTCGGGCCAATTGGCAATGACGGCCGCGAGATTACCGCGGTCTTCCCAGCTCAGGTACATACCTTCAGGCTGCTGGTAGATCTCGGACCATCGTTGACAAGCCTCACCAACCACAGGAGTGTAGATGAGAGGAGTCAATTCTCTAAGGTGATCTGAGACGAGACGGTAGAAGAGGTGGACGTTGTTCTTGCGAAGAGTGCTCAGATAGAGAAACTTGTCAATGGGAGTGGTCTTCAGAGCCAATTGAGCCAGGCCTGCTGTTGTCAGCTCCATTCTCTTACTCCAAATTATATAGTGTTCATACATCTTGTCTTCTGGGTCTCGTATGACTCTGCGCGCGGAGGAGTGAGTCCGTAGGTACGGAGGTATTTGCGAATGTACGAGGGATTGGCGGTGTCGTAGCTTCCCTCACTATCAATGAGCATTAGCAACGGTACCTATATTGTGTATATCAAAGCAATTGCTTACGAAGGAGCCTGGTGGCCCATGTGGGAAGTGGCGTGGACCGGCCGGCTTTGTTGCGCAGACGGAGGAAAGCGAGCCATGGTGGAGTTCGAAGCAGTCAAAGTACTCTTGCAACGAATGCTAGTTGCTTGAGGAGTGGAGAGTTTCAAAGAAGACAATGCGATATGAGGAGTAGAAGAGAAAAGAGAAGAACACGATGACCTGGGAAGCCTGGTATTAAGTAGTATGCGATTCCGGCTGAGAGGCCCCTGAGGACGACGAATCCACCACATTCCGAAAAGTCAAACGACCAAGCATGGATTGCCTCTTTTAGTCAGAGGCAAAAAAAA